AAAATTATGGCATATGAATATGCTTAGCTGCCATGAAGGTTGGGGCAGTGACTATTGAGCTTTTATAGCCTCTACAGTGAGAAGGAAGCAAGGAGAAATGTTCTTAGCAGTCAGCCAATGAACGATGTCTGCCACCATCACCATCGAGTGTGTGGCATCTATCTTAGGCAGGGCTCCAAGACAAGACATCTACTCGAAGACTCTGCAGACTATGAATAACTGCCTCTGAGTCAGGGATTGATCTGATATGATCAGATGTCAGCATGACAGCTTTCCTCAAAAGGGGGCTGCATGCAGGATAAAGACGGAGAGGACTTGGTTTGGTACCAGTATGATATCCAAACATGTCTAAATTCTCATCAGTGACCCAATCATAGCTTGATCAACCATAAGTTTAACTATACCTGCTACAATCCTACAAGCTAGCTTTGTTCATAGCTTGTTTTGTCAGTTCACATATTTATTCAATACATATTAATGGAATGATAGGCATTTGGCCTAGATGCAGGGGATACAGCAGTGAAGAAAATAAGGAGTTTGCTTTCTAGCGGAAGAGAGAGAGGACTGATGCCCCAATAATCCTGTTCTTTTCTTTGTCATGATTACCACAATTTCAGTACTTACGTGTTTGCAGACACACAGTGGCAAAAACATAGTTAAGAGGCAGGGTGGAGGCAAAGAATGTGAAGGTAGAAGGTAGGGGAGGGTCTGCTTGAATTTCTAGAACATTGGAGCTAAATGCTTTAGTCACAGATTTTTTCCATTTGTCTCCTTTACAGGAACATGGGCGGACATTTTCCGCTCTAGAGAAAAAAGGAAGGAAATGCACAGTGCCAGGAGCCACAAGTGCACAGTGTGTGCTGCACAGCCAGTCTCTGTTCTCATTAGAACATAGTTTTGATTTCTTAAATTATGTTATTTGGCCTTTATTTAACTTCCTCTAGGCCACGTCGAGTGTGGCCTACAAAAAGTAGCCTATTTCCTGAGCGGTACGTCCCTTTACACTTGGCCTTGGATGTATCCACCCCTCACCCCACAATGGTTTTCTTGGTCTTAAATAAAAACTCACCTGAGGATGTAGCAGGGACCAACATATACTTGAATCTTCTCTAGTCATGAGGCATTAGATGTTTACCAAGGACACTGGCACTGCTCATTTGCCTTCTGTGTGTGTGGCTATATAAGATTTATATATTGGATTTTTAAATATCTTTTACTTTCGTCTTCTCTCTCTTTCTAGCCTTTGACCCCCGCATCCCCCTGGCTTTATTCAGGCTAATTCCCTTTTTATCTTTCAGGCCATAACATAATTGTAACTGCCTCAAATAAGAACTTCCTTAGAACTTAGACTAAGCTCCTGTTTATGCTCCTGTTAATTCATTGCTCTCCTTGATAACAATTCCCACAATTTCAGTACTTGTTTGTGTAATAGCTTGATTAACGCCTGTCGAATCCCTCAGTAGACTAAACTCCATGAAGGCAGGGCCATACCTGTCTCACTCGGGTCTATACTTCAGCATCCAACAGTGTTAGACACACATCGTGGCAATCAATAATATTTAACGAATTAATAAATATCTTTTGTCTCCAAGTAAGCAGCACAGTGCCTCAGAAAAATAGGTACTGTGGTGGACACTGATTGTGAAGCTCTGCCCAGCAATAGAAGATTTAGCCCCATCTTCTCCCTGCTTCTGGGAGTGTTACTGGCAGGCACCCTCAGCAACCAGTCCTCTTCAGAGAATGCCTCAGTTAAAGAAACAGGAAGCCCCAAATCATGTCTTCTCTCTGGGTGGTTTGCATCTAATGACTAATCATCTTTGGGAGTTGAAGTTCCAGCCATTCAAGCTAACTCAAAGATACCTCTAAAAGTCCATCCCAGCTCTGAAGGCAAGCTGAAGGCTTTGTTAGGATGGCATTAGAGACCATCTTCTCCCTCTGCTCAATCCTGTTTCTTCCACCTCTTTTTCATAGGGGTCAATTCCAAGAGCATGTCTTGCAGACTAATCTCCCCTTCAGAGTCTACTTCATGGGTAACCCAACCTGTGATGGCTACTACAAAACAGTTTACTGAACTGAACTGAATATTATGTTCTGTCCCACTCCATAAACTCCTAAACCGCAAAGTTCACTTCTTATTTATCCTTGCATCCTTGCAATGAGTAGAAGGTGACTTTTATATAGTGAGTGTTATGGTATGAAAATTTATGTGCCCCCAAATTCATATGTTGAAATTCTAATTCCCAAAGGTGATGATATTAAGTGGTGTGGCCTTTGGGTGGTGCTTAAATCATGAAGGTGGAACCCTCATGAATGGGATTAGCACCTTATAAAAGAGAGGTCCCTCCCTCTTCTGTCATGTGAGAAAACAACTACAAATCTGCTCCCCAGAGGAGAGCCCTCACCTGACCATGCTGGCACTCTGAGCTTGGACCTTTAGCCTCCAGATGATGAGAGATAGAATTCCATTGTTTGTAAGCTACTTGGTCTGTGATATTTTGCCATAGCAACCCAGACTAAGACAAACAACCCAAACTAAGACAAACTTAGATAAACACATCAAACAAAATAGGCCCCAAAACTTAGTTTGAGCTAAAGCCTTCCTAATCAAAGTGTGGTCTTAGAGCTAGTGGTATTGCCATTCTTGGTGTATTTTGTTGCAAATGCAGGCTCTCAAGGCCCAAACTGAATCAGACCAACTGAATCCAAATCTCCATTTTTACAAGATCCCAGGCAGTTCACATGTTTATTTATTTTCTGAAATACTGAGCTAAGGGGTTTATTAATATAAATAAAATGATCTTGCTAATATGTCCTCTCTTGTTTGTACAGCATCTTCGTAAGGTTTTTCTCTCTGAAATTTTGCTGAGTGCTAGTGTAATCATGCCTTCTTTCATGCAACAAACACTAAATGAGTGCCAAAGATTTCAGCCCTACAGAGCTTACATTCTAGAAGCGGGGTGGGATAAACATCAATATGCATATTGTAGAGTGTGAGGGAAGGTGATAAGTGTCATGAAAAAAAAAGCAGGGGAGATGGGTTGTAATATCAAAGTTTCCCTAAGGCCATGATAAGCAGAGACTTGAAGAGGTGAGGTCTTTAGCTACATTTGTATCTGAGCACAAGCCAGGAGTGTTCTAGGAAGAGCAGAGGCCAGTGTGGCTGGAGTAGAATAGGTGAGACGCAGAGTAACATGAGATGTGGTCAGAGAGGAAAGAGGGCAGATCTCGTGGTGAGAGGCTGTTGAATAAACCGCTATTCGATATTTAATTGCTGAAAAGGTAATTCAAGTCGTTTTTCCTCCAAAAATAAATAGTTCTTGGCTGAACCAATTCGATTTGGGCTGGGGAAGTTTGCACAAACCATTTCACCGGCGAAACTTCGGGATTCTCAAATACAAATGCAGGGACTGGAGAAGGCACCTAAGGGCTCCTTCTATCCTAAACTCTCAAGTTTCCATACACCTTGATGCAGAAGTCTAATGTACTGTAAGATAAAGACCGTGGCTGGGTTGTGGCCTAGGGCAAAACACTGCAAAAAGAAGAAGATGAAACCGGGCAGGTAATGCCAAGCCGAAAGAACATAACCTTTGGACACAAATTGCTTACAAACCTGCGAGCCAAGGTCGCGCGACCACAGATTGCGTGGCCCTGACGCCGAGCTTCCTTGGAGGCGGCCCCTCTCGGCCTTCCCATTGTAGTTTTGCCTCTCTTACCACACCCTACTCCTCAGGCCGCCTCCGCCTCCCGGCAAAAGTCCGAGTTCCCGCCAGCGAGCCCCACCTCCCTGCCCTGGCTCCGCAACCCGCTCTAACCCCGCCCCTCGCTCTGGCCCCGCCTTCCGCTCTGGTCCCGTCTCCCAGCCCTGGCTCCGTCACCCGGTCTGGCTCCGCCTCCCCGTCAAAGCCGGCCTCTCAGGCCTAGCCCCGCCTCCCCGTCTTGGTCTCCACTTCACTGTCCACACCTTACTTTCCCGTCCACGCTCCGCCTCCCGCCGGAGGGCTGGTCCGCGGTGGCGGATGTGACGCAAGGCCTAGGCCCCGGGGCCGCGTCGGGGGACCGCCGCAGTTCAGGGCCGCACCGGAGTCGGTACCGAGTATCATGGCTCTTCTCTTTTTCCTTGCCCTTATCCTGCTGGCCGGAAGCCTGGCTGAGATGAGCACCGCGGATCCAGAGCTGTCCTCGGGTACTGTCGCCCGCGGCAGGGCCGCGGCCGGGTGGGGACGGAGACGGGGGCAGGAGGGGAGCGAGGAGCCGCGCTGGCCTGACGCTCCTCCCGGGGGGCCGCGCCTGCGTTCGTCCTCAGCGCTTCGGGGCTTCGGATCCTAAGGGGCGACGCCAGGTCTCCGCGGTTTGGCACCTTCAGTTCCCTTCCTCTTGCCTTTTCCGTTGTTGCCAAAACAGCAAAACACGCCTAGCAGTTCTCTTAATTCAGTTTTAAATAGGTGGAGTTTTCTGGTCAACATGTGGACAGTGGCCGCAACTCAGGATTAAAATATTCGTAGGGTAGTCCCCGTAGCCTTAGACGTTCTTTCGCCAGCTGAGAATTGTTGAAAGTCAGTAACTGGCCGTCTTACGTGCTAGTCTGGAAGTGGTGCAATGCGTGCACTCACGAGCCCATGTGTCAGGCAGTAGGTCTCTTCACAGAGCTTAGTTCCTTGTTTATCTCCGCCTGTTTATTGAGATGTCCCAGGAAACAAATGCTGAGAATAACGTTTTTCTAAAGCTCGGTGTAATGGTGATTAGGGGCTCCAGGGAAATCAGTAAACCTTTTCTGCAAGAGGGATAAACTTCGATTATCAGAAAGCCCTGCAGTCTTGAGTGTCTCCTCAATGTACGCAGTTAGCAGCTGCCTGGAAGAGGTCAGGGAGACGAAGCCTCCACCCTTATCAAACTCTGGGTCTGCACCTCTATATTAGGACTTCCTCTTTGGCAGTTGCTAGCTGTGCTTCCCATTCATCTCAGCTCTCCTTTGGCTTGCTCCTTAACAGTCAAGCAAATAGTCATTCCTTGGAAGAGGCATTCTGCCAGGTGTTTGGAATACAAAAAAATGGGAGTTACTCCATTTCTGCCTTCAAGGATCATGATTATAAAGCTAAGAGCTATTAGGCACTGTTGAAAGTTCTTATCACAGCTTGTTTCCCCAAAGCCCTATAAAGTAGGCGCTGTTGTGTTTCCACTTATGGATGAGAAATTGAGACACAGGGAGGTGTATCCAGATTGTATAGAGGTTGCTGCTACTCAGTGGGGAGCTTAGCAATTTGGTTCCAGAGTCCAAGTTCTTAACTGCATTCTGTCATTACCTAGGGCAAGTTAGTCACCCACAAGGGCACTTGCAGTCCATTGTGATAAGAGCTTGAAGTTACACGTAGATTACTGGAAAGCAAGAAATGGGTGCCTAGCTCTGAGCAGGGGAGTGAGGAAAGACTTCACAGAGAAGTTGACCCCAGAGTTGGAATGGGAGGTACAAAGAGACCTGCATGTGCAGAGAAAGGGCTATGAAACAGCATGTTGAATTAGCAGAATATTAAGCATTTTATTTAGAATATGTATGTGAGAATGTAAGGATAATTGTGTTACTTGGAGAGGTGGGAACCAATAAATGATGTGCCTTGTCATGTGTAACAGCAAACTGGCTAACTTAGGCACAAAGAGGAATTTATTGGCTCAGAGAAGCCAAAGCGAGAGTTGAACAGAAAGGTAAAGATGCCAACAGGGCCTTAGGAAGCTGAACCAGAAATTCAAACTGCCAAGACCATCCATTTCTTATTGCTGACTCGACAGCCTTCCCTACTTGGCAGGAATCATGGATGTTGACAGCTTTTGCGTTTTGACATCTTGCAGCTTCCTCCACCTTAAAATCCCTGAAGAAGGCTCTGATTCACCCAGCTTGGGCCAGGCATCAGCTCGCAGGGAAGGGTATCGTTTTGCAGGGAGTGGCTGTCAGGGACTTCCCAGAAGAAATCATGCTTCTGAAAGAAGTACAGGTGCTGAGCCAACAAAGTAATATGCTCACTATCCGTGCTTCAGTCAGTGGGCAGCCATTGGATTATCTTGAGGTAAATGATTTTAGGCAGAATCTGACATGCCATTTAGAAAGACCATTACAAAATAATTCAGGAGTAGACTCAAAGGAGGGAGGCCAATTTGGAGGCTGCTGCTAAAGTCTGGGAGGAGCTGAGAAGAGGCAGTTTAAATGGAGAAGAAGAAATTAGAAGGCAGAGTCAGCAGGACTCAGTGACTGACTGGACGTGGGAAGAGAGGAAAAGGGGGACTGAGGTTCCTGGCTAGAGCCAAGCATTAAACCCAGTGCAAGACCCTTCCTGCTGAGCACAGAGCCCTCCCGAGCATCAGGGCCCTTGTGACTACACAGTTTGTAAGTCCTTAAAGCCAGCCCTGGGAGGAGAATTGCCTGCCTGCCCCCCCCATAGAGAGATGTTCTGTGGCCTTCTGCATTCCAGCATTTGCAAACACAGGTGTCCGCTACCTTCTTCCAGTTTGTTCTTGCACTCTGGGTACCACCTGAAGAGAAGGCTGCTTTAGCAGAGATGCGGGGCTCTTAACTCCCCTTCTCCGCTTCTCAGCTATGGGTCTGTTTACTCTCTGACTTTCGGATAGTGCTCTGGGTGTGTTGAAATTTTCCTTTATTTTCTTTAGATTTTATATTTATTTCAGAGATTCAGAATACTTAAATCAGTGCATTCCAGTTATATTTATTGAATGGGATATTAATAATAGTTTTCTTTTTCACGTTATTCTGATTCATGATTCAGATTTTGGATTTTGAAAGAGCCTCATTTTGGTTCTATATAAAAGAAAACCTAAAGAATTGAAGAGAAAAATAACCCTTTAAAGAACTGTCTTATAAAATTTAGCAGCACACAGCAATAGTGCAGTTGTTTTGGGAACTAAATGAATAATTAATGGTTCTATTTTAATTGGATAAGGAATCAGAATGAGAACTGAACCAGAATTAAATGAGTTCCTGACAGGAAGGAATCAGTTTACCAGTAATTTTCTTATTAAGGGAGACTATTTTAAATTATCTCAATACATAATAATCAGAATACTGGATATTCATTTCAGTCCTGTCCATTCTAAATACATGATTTAACTTAATACATTGTTCAGATTTTGCTGTGGCATTCATGTAGTTGGGTTAGTGTAATAAATAAGGCAAAATTACTCAAAGCAGATACTTGTGAAGTCATCAGAAAACAGTCATCTCCAATTCCTATTTATATATGATGATTTTTTCCCCCGTTATTTCATTAAACTGTCACAAAAATGATGCTCAGGCAGCTTATGTTAATTAAAACCAACAAAACTATACACATCATCAAGTCTTTAAATAGTTTCTATAAGCCTTTTTTCTCTTTGGCAAAAATATGTATGTACATAACTATTACTTCCCTCATAGTTTGGTGCTTAACTGAGATAATACATAACAAAGTTGAGCTCATAGCTTGTCCTGTAGTAAATGTTTAATATATATTGGTGATTATCATTCAATAATGTGCATCATTATTTTCACAAATTTTTAAATATTGTTTTAGTTATGTATGGGAAATTGTGTTGGGTTTTTAAAAAACTCATCTAGATCAGTATAAGAAATTTGAACTAAGTTCAGCAGCTCACTCCTCCCACCTTTTTCCTGTTCTTCATAGACTGAAAAGACCTTTAGTTTTTCCAACTTTGAATTAATTAGTCCAAAAGGGAATTAATCTTGAGAAATGACTTTTTCTCAGGGACTTGGTCGGTCTGGTTAAATTAGAATTTATTGGCATACCAAGCAAACCCAACCAGATGAAACTGAATAAGCAGAAGCAATAATAAAACCCTGCATTTCAGGTCAGAAAAGTGGCTGAGGAGATGTGTACTGGATAAGCCCTAACTTGGTGGTGGGTTTGAATAAGAGATCTGGGGGATTTTAGTTAATTACAAGTTCAGCGTAAGCCACTGTTTGACATGCCCATCTCTTTAAAAAAAGAAGAGAAGGAAAAGTATTTCATTCACATTAGTTGCATTACTTCTGGGCTCTACGTTTTAAGAGAAAGTCAATGATAAAACCTGAAGACAGACAAGAAGAAGGGAAGATGGCAAGACTGTGACCCAGGTAAGGGTCTTGACCCAGCTAAGGAACTCTTACATGAATGGTGAGATAGACCTCAAATACTTTAAATGTCCTCACTTAAACTCTTAGTTCTGATACTCTTTTTCTGAAAGTACAAGAAAATAATAGAAGGAAGTAAAAGAAGGACTCTTTTTCCATTAGTTTCACAAAGTAATGGATATGATTCCTTTCAAAGCCCCCAAATATTGAAATGTTTCCTTTTTAAAACTTTTATGAACACTTGAAACATCATGTGCAAAAATTCTCAAAAGTCTTTATTCATCTTAAATCTAGAGGATACTGTTACTTGCTAAGAGAAAAAGTTGGAAAGCATTAAGAAAAAGTCACTATAAAACCACTCAGGAGATAAATTGTAATCATAATTATTCTGAAAAAAATGAAAACATCTTGGTTTGATGTTTTTCACTTTTTCTGCCTAAATTTCTCATGCCATTTCTCATTTTGCAGTATAAGCAGAAACTTTTGTGAAAACATCCATGGCTCCACACCTCTAACATGGGGACGGTGTTAGATCTTTTCTCTAAGAGTTGTTCATTCAGAAAAGGGTCTAGATGCTTAAATTTGGAGCATTTGTTTTTGAGTTTTAGTGTCAGATGACTTAGAATCCCCCCAGACAATTTTAGTACTGGCCCCTGTATCCTTACTTCTCTGTGCTTCTCGGTTTGTCCTTCATAGAGAGGTTGGTAAGCAGATTGTCGAATGGTGCCCACAGAGTAGAAGCTCTGTTCTGCCATCAGTGTGCACATCCTTGATTCAGTCTTCATGTCTATTGTGTAAAAATTGGTGAAGGACTACTGTGGCTGTCCCTCTTTTCATAGAGGCACAGACGCCTTCTGTGGTTATGGGATGGAGCGCAGGTGGCAGCCCGTGCTCCTGTCACCTTCCATTCAGAGGAAATCTCTCATCCTACTACCTTCCCCAGTAACGATGGCAGAGCTGTCCTGGCCACTGGGTTGGGGCCTCGGTGACGCCTCCATTGCCCCATCTAGTGGCACTACTTGACCACTTGCTGATCTGCATCTAACCCTTGCTCTTTTTTCTTATTTATCATGCGGAAACAGTTGGTTATAAACAGAACTCTCCCTTTTTTTCTGCATTGTAATTAGAGTGTTATGAAAAGTGATTCTTCTCTCCTTTGGTTTTATTTAATCATCAGCTGCTAGTTCTAGAGGAGTTCTTGGAAGTAGATCTGAAAAGAGCTAATATTTACTCTGGGTAGTATGCAGATACAACACTCCAAATAACTGACTGCACTTCCAACTCCACTTCCAAAAACAGCATGTGTTACCAAAAACTATTTGGGCATTTTTAAGAGATTAGGAAATCTGTAAAATTATTCTACTTCATGAAATATTCTCTTAGGATCTTAAGCTCTATAGATAATACTCTCTTACTACTTCTACATCTATTTTTATTGACATAAGGTAAATTTATTATGAAGAGAAGTTTTCTTTAAGCCTCAACTATTTTCATCTGAATATATAACAAGAAAAAGGATTAAAAGGAACCCTATTAAGAAGCCTCAATCTCCTCTGCTGTGTATGGCCCTGGGAACTCTACCACAAACAAAAGAGAAGTTTGAGGGCTAAATCTGGCAAGACCAGTGCTTCCTGGCTCATCTGCAAGGAAACTGCTTAGAGAATCAAAGATGATAGGTGCCAACAGCCATGAGCAGTATTCCAGAAAGATCAGGTAGAGAAATGGTAGATGTCTGATCACTGACTGCAGAAAGGACGTTTTGTATGTAGTGAGTATTTGAATCCGAGACATCTTCCAGCTTCATAATCTCAACCTTTAGGCACAAATTGTTCTACTGCTTTCGTAAATAATATGGAAGTTAGACATTTTGGCAGGAACCAAAGCTGTTCGTTGAGCAGGAAGCCATAAAATATATTGGCTTATCAAAAAACATTCTATTTCATTTGATTTCTCTATTTTATTTCTTTTATTGAAGTATAGTTGATTTACAATATTATATTAGTTTCAGGTGTATAACATAATGATTCAGTATGTTTACAGATTATACTCCATTTAATGTTATAAAATATTGTCTATATTCCCTGGGCTGTACAATATATCCTTGTAGCTTATTTATTTTATACATAATAGTTTGTGTATCTTAATCCCCTACACCTGTCTTGCCCCTGGTAACCACTGGTTTGTTATGTATCTGTGAGTCTGTTCCTGTTTTGTTATAGTCATCCATTTGTTGTTAGATTCCACAAATAAGTGATAGCATACAATATTTGTCTTTCTGTTTGGCTTATTTTGTGAAGCATAATACCCTCCAGGTCCATCTATGTTGTTGCAAATGGCAAAATTTCATTCTTTTTTATGACTGAGTAGTATTCTGTTGTGTATATATACCACATCTTTATCCATTCATCTGTTGATGGACACTTCGGCTGCTTGTAAATAATGTAAATATCTTGGCTGTTGTAAATAATGCTGCTGTGAACACTGATGTGTATGTATCTTTTTGAATGAATGTTTTTGGTTTCTTCAGCTATATACCCAGGATTGGAATTGCTGGATCACATGGTACTTCTATTTTTAGTTTTTTTGAAGAACCTCCATCCTGTTTTCCATAGTGGCTGCACCAGTTTACATTCCCACCAAGTGCACGAAGGTTACCTTTTCTCCACATCCTCGCCAGCATTTATTATTTATAGACTTTGATGATAGCCATTCTGATGGGTGTGAGGTGATATTTCATTGCATTCTGTTTTTAAATTAGTTTTTCCTCCTCAGTAAAAGAAAAGAAAAAAAAGATTCTTAAAATTATGAATGTATAAAGCAGGATTTCTGAGTATTTGGCACTGTTGGTGTTTTGAACTGCTGAGACGTGGAAGCTGTCCTGTGCTTTACCGGCTATTTAGCAGCATCCGTAGCCTCTGTCCTCTAGATGCCAGTAGCTTCCCCATCACTACCACTGAGTTATGAGAACTGAAAATGTCTCTAGACAGTGCCAGATTTCCCCTGGGGGACAAAATCACCTCTTGTGGAAAACCACTGATAGAAAGGAGAAAATAATCAGAAAAAAGGAGGGGGGGTGGCAGTAGAATCTAATTGTCCATGAGTCCAGATCTTTTACCTAAATAACTCTCGATCCATATTCTGCCTGGGAAAGATAATGCAGGTGATAAGTAATTGTAAATTAAGACAATGTACCAGCTTGGGTTCAAATATTGGAATTTTGGGTTTGGGAAAAAATATTGGTGTTTTCTTTAACAGTAAGCAAATATCCTGTGTATGTGAAATTAACATCTCACTTGACAGATGAGAAAATCTGAAATAACTCTTTAGTAGTATAGCAAGGAAAGAACCCAGATTTCTCAATGTCCAGCCCAGGGAATATCTTATTAGAACTGCCCACTAGATATAAACCTCAGTGATCATCAGTATCATCTGTGCTTTTAAAAAGTATAGACTTCTGGGTCCCTTCGAATTTTTTAGAGTAAGTTAGTTTGGAAGCCACTGTACCTGACCACATTGCTATTCATTTATTTATTTCAGTTGTGTAAGCAAATGATGTCTAATGGTGTTTTCCAGATAGGTAGGATAGAATAATCTTTAATTTTGGGTCATATTGCTCATTATATACCTTCATGTTCATTCATAAAGAAGGGAAGGAAAGAAGGGAAAGAAGGAAGGAGAGAGAGGAAAGGAGGAAGGGAGGAGATGTGTGTGCGGTCACTTTTCTAAGGGATGGTGGACAACACATTTACACTGAGCAGGGGGAAAAATGGCTGCTTTCAGTAACGAGATTATGGTTTTGGTAGTGTGTGATTATAAGATGTTAAAGTGACTTCTGCTTATTCTCTCCTGTGACACTTTCACATCTCATCAACAAACATTTTCTAAAATGGTTTGAAAGAGCAAAGGCAGGAATAAATACAGGGTATGTTTTGAAAAAAAAAAAAACAAAAAACCCTAGAGAACAAAATGTTGATGAAACTGGAGTGGTTGATGGCCGCATCAGGCAATCACTAGACATCTATTCCTTTCCTGGAGAAAAGGCAGTGAAGGTGTGTGATGGTACTCGGTGAGGGGTGGGAGCCTGGGTAGTATTACACAGTGAGAGTGGCCATCCCTAGTGTAACCAGTTCTTCTCTAGACATTGCATACAATCTGTGGTTTCAAATATAGAAAATTCTTGTGACTAAATAATTGAGGATTGTTATCGCAACAGGCAGTACAATTATTTATAAAAATTCCTAGAACACTCTAGGAATTTATTGTTCATACTGTATTTGTGTTTCCCTTAGGTATAATGTTGTTTCAGTAATTCAAAATAAATTAGAATAATTCTATACAGTTTTCCATAAAATTAATTTTTAGAAATACCTTAATTTAAATAAATGTATTTATTCTAATGACTCCTTTCCTTCAAATACATATTTGGCTAACGTGGCGTCTTATGTTAAGGTTTTCTAATGTTAATGCTAGTTTCTTACTATCATCCGTCCCACTTTTTGAATCTGTTACAGTGCCAGTTCCAGCCAATCTGACCTTTGAGGCCTATAACTTGAATGCTGTTCTACTCTGGGATTACCCGATCATGCCATGGACCCCTGTGTTTACTGTACAGGTGAAGGCCTATGAGTGAGTGTCAGTCTTTTATCTTTTTCTTTCTGTTTTTGTCTAGGTCCTTGCACATTTCATAACTGCCTCCTTCTGTCACTGTTCATTCCCCCATAGCAGAACCTCCTGAGCTGCTTTTAGACTTCCAGAACTAATAAGGATGCAAATTAGTTCTTTTCAGAATACTTCCTGCCTCTTAGTTCTTCTTCCTGTCAAAATTGAAATAGAGAAGTAGCACCAACTTCTGACATTTTAATATATGACAAATAAAGCTCACAGTTTTGTATTAAAAATAGTGACGTCATCTTACTTCCTGTAGTGTATGTATTGTGGAGTAGAAAGAAAAATGACAAACTTTGTTGACAATGTTAGGACTCATTGTAATGTGCTGGATTCTGTAATTAAGTAATGACTATGCATGGAGTCTAGATTTGTTTAAAGAGGAGATTTTTAAAAATTACATGTGGAATGTGGTTTGTACAGGTCTTATTTTGAATTGAGCCTCTTTATTATTGTAAGAGAATTTCTAGACCTTCTTTGCAGAGTAAAGGCTTCCTACTTTGCCTAGCTTCTTGATCCTATTCTTACTCTGCTGTGAATGAAAAGCAAGATGCAGACAGTGATGGTTCAAGTTTATGTATTAACAATAAAAGTTACCTTTGTGTTTCTTCGGCCTTCATTTTAGGGACCCAGTATGGATTGATGCCTGCAATACCTCTCTTCATTCTTGTGATATCTTTTCCTTAATTAATGATCCATCAGGTTCTCTCTGGGCTAGAGTTAAAGCTAGGCTTGGACAAAAAGAATCAGCTTATGCAGAGTCAAAAGAGTTTATTTTATGCAGACACGGTGAGTAGAACATACACATGTCTAAATTTTACATTTGAAAAGTGCTTTACCCATGTCTTCTGTATATATTCGCTTTTATTAGCAGTTGCTAAAATGATCACAGTGCCCCAGAAACATTTGGAGGAATGTAGGGAGTTCGTGTCTTCCTCTTCTGTCAAGTCCCACAAAATAGGGTCCCCTCACTCTGCCCCTTGTACACCGCTGCATTTCCACTGTCTGGACATGGCACCACCTCCCCGCTGTCTTCTGTCAGTCCCTCCCAATTACATTCGCTAAGGACTTCGAGAGCTGTTTGCAGTCTTCCCCTGTACCGTAAGTCCTCAAGGCCTGTGGGGATTTGAATACCGATTTAATACATTAAAAATAATAAGAGTCCCATAATCTCTTCAGCCGCAGTGATTTCCAGCTCTTCACACTTCAGGCATCCACGGTGCTGTTCCCGTGGTGTACCTGGTCTTTGTTGTCACCTCGAGCTCTGGCCTCTTCAGTGCCAAGTCCTCCCCTCCGGCTAACCTCAGCCTTGTAGCGCTCACACCCTCGCTCCTGGCTGAAAGAAGCCGTTGGTCACTGGACTCCTCCCTGGTCTGCTGGCCCCTTCGTGCCTGGCCTGCCAGCTTCACCTTCATCCCTGTTCTGCTTCTGTGCTTTGTTACTTCAACCACTGCCTTGGTTCCACTCCTTCTTTTAGGGTTGTGTCTACTTTTCTCTTCTACAGGCCCCTCCTCTGCCTGCCCTTGAGGTACTTTTATTCTGTGTGGTCCACGCCTTTGTCACCTGATAATTATACCATCTATATATGTCAGCTTTTCCCCACACAAATGTATCAAGGGTATACTATGTGCCAGGAAGTATGCTAAGCCCTGTGGATACATTGGTGAGTGAAAACAGACCTGCCTGGCACACAGGTGTGTGATCAGTATGTGAAGAATAGATACTCTACCGTGGTTCACCTACAAAGTTCCAGACATCAAACACACATAATAAATAGTTGTTGAATCAGTGAATGTCGAGTTCTGATTTTCAAAGTAGAAGTTGAATGTATCTAGCAAGCTTTTATAGAGCCTTCATGCCAGACACCCATAGGCATTGGAAGTATAAACAGTTTTGATGAGGATTCAAAGATAACTACAATGCCTTTTCTGAAATGTGTTATAGAAAACAGATCTTCCATTTAATGTTTTTTAATCTAAAGAATCAAAGATAAAGGAAAAATAATAGAGCTTCTATTATGTCAAGGCTTTTTACCAAGATTCATGACCAACTATTTTTCTTTAGGACAGGAAATGAATTTAAACTGTTAAAGAGGAGCTTAGATGAGATAAGAATACTTGTTGCCTGAGATTTATTAAAATTTCTTTATTAAGGACAGTTAGAATATCTTCTAGATATTTGTGGAATGGTTTAAACATAGTCCTGCTTTACAACAACAACAACAAAAAGAGTAGGTTGATTGATTGATTTTGATAATGTTATGTAATACGCTGTGACATTCCAGGGCTGGTACAAATTCTGTTTCTTTTTTGTCCCTTCCCCAGGGAAAATTGGACCACCTAAACTGGATATCAGAAAGAAGGAAGACCAAATCATTGTTGATATATTTCACCCTTTCATTACTGAAAATGGAAATGAACCAGAACTCGTGTATGATGATGAAAATTCTTGTTACACATTCATATACAATGTGTTTGTGAGGATAAATGGAAGTGAAGTATGTGTTTCTGTTTCATCTTTTTCAAGCTGGAAATTTTTCTATTGCTAGCATAAGTTGTTTCCACATGTGGTGTGATGAAAATAGACTGTTTATGAACATTCAGGCAAGATTCACGGATCATAAGTTTTAGTTAGAAAGATGAAATATATATGAATGCTGTTGAAGGGAATTGGAAGTGGAGTTAATTTTTAACACTGGTCATTTGAGTATATTTTAAGTTTTTTCTTTGCCTCTTTTAGCAGCATGGTCCTAACCTATGATATCAACCTGTGTCTTTCCATTTCTCTAGTAGTTAAGATGAGAAAATTTTAATCATTTTTTCCTCATTGGTAGTAAGGTAATGATGTAAAGTAATATGAAGCTCTAATTGGAATCATTGTTCTTGAAAGAAAAAACTAGCACTACTGCTATGAGGATGTGATTTCGTTCTGGCACTGGTGTGCGGACCACACTTTGATTAGAGTTTTCCTGTTCCATCCAGTCTCCACAGCACTGCCGTTCCTTTATTTAACGGTATTTGTCAGGCACATGCCCCGTGCCTTCTGGCACCAGGAAATGGCAGTGAACAGTACAGACAAAACTCCAGTTAAGTACTGTGGAATAGAAAACAGAGGTCTGAGCATTTACTGGGGGCCACTTCTCTGAAGGCATTGGAAGGATGTGACTTCCATTCCGAGTGAGACGCTGTGCCTCTGGAAAGATTTAGGCAGAAGAATGGCATCTGATTTAGGTTTTAAAACATCACTTTGGTTGCTAACGGAGTTGTCGTTCTAAAGTATGACTCTAACCATATTACTTCACTGCTTAAAACCCTTTAACAAATCTACATTAGCTACAAAGTAACATCTAAATTCTCTTCCACAGCCTTCATGATTTGGTCTCATGTCATTTCCAGCCCTCTGTCTCCCAAGCCCTCCAACTTGATTCTCGTTCGTGCTTTGGGCAATTGTTTGTTGTTCCTAGCTCCCTGCAGGTACCATGCTCTTTCAGAGAATGCCCTTCTCCACCTTTCCTACTTTGGAAAATTTCTATTCACTCTTCAGTATTCAGCTGGCATATCATCTCCCCTTGGGATTCTTTCCTGACACAGTAGACTATTTCCTCTTCTGTGGTCTGGTTATTCCTAGATCCATACAGTGCAGGACTCCTTACTCTCTTACATTTCTTTCTTGTCTCTTTACCACACTCTATCATAAGTTATTTGAGGTCAGGGACCACTGCCCTACCTTTGTGTCCTCAGGCCCTAGCATCAGTGATCCATGATAAACTCCCAGAGGTGGCTTCACTCCCTTCTGTGCCTCACTGCCGACAAAGCCCAGGGCCTTTGCATGATACCTGTATGCTGGTATCTCTCACCAGCTAAGTTTCTAGCACTGTAGGAAGAGGACTAATGAACATTTGTTGGTTTGGCAACTAATAATGAATATTCCTGCTATTTGAGTTTCTAAATTTATAATCTCTGTTTCAGTTTTTAAATTTATAATCCCTATAGAGAACATTTTAATGGATATATAGCATCATGCCATGTTGAAGTAACAAACTGGCTTATTGTTTGATATCAACACTATTTTCAGACATGTTCAACATTCATCATACATATGTTTTCTTCAGATGTTTGACCAGAATATGATGGTTTGTTTGTTTATTTGTTCATTTATTGCAGATTAGAAGGAGCCATGCATTTTCATTGTTTTTTTTTTTCCATACAGGCCACAGATAAAACATACATGAAGAAGATAGATGACTGTAATGAGACTCCATGCTTCTTAAGTATTCAGGTGTCCTCACTGAATTCTGAGTACTGTGTTTCAGCAGAAGGAGTTTCAGATTTGTGGGCTGTTAAAACTGAGAAGTCCAAAGAACTCTGTATTACCATTTTTGATGAGAAGAGCACACAAAGTAAGTTCTTGCCATTTTCCCCTGAGTACAGGGTAATGTGCAAAGAGGCAGTTTGCCACTTCAATAAATCTTCTCTCTTTTAAAAAATACTCAGTAGTTCCATTCCCCAGAGTTCAAAATTTAAAATAAGGTCATTTCTCAGGGATTAAAAGATACAAAACAACCAATTTAGAAAGTCATGTGATAACCTTTTGGCCCAGGAAAGAAAACAAATATAACAGACACATAAAACTATGTGCATAAATGTCTGCATTTCAGGATTATGCATAATAATTTAAGTCAGTTTACTTCAGTATAGCAAAATGCTATATAGCCGTTAAAATGTTCTTTATGGGTTCGGTAAGTTTAAAAACTAAAAAGCAGGAATGTTCATTGACTAAATTGTGTAACATGCGAAGCACTGGAAATTAACATCCAAAAATAAATATAGATTGGTTTAATTTTTTTAATTTATATATATATATGTATTTATTGAAGTATAGTCAGTTTACAGTGTGTGTCAATTTCTGATGTACAGCACAATGCTTCAGTGATACATATACATGCATATATTCTCATATTCTTTTTCCCCTTGAGTTACTACAAGATAATTGAATATAGTTCCTCATTCTATACAGTATAAACTTGTTTATCTATTTTATATCTATTAATTAGTATCTGCAAATCTGAAACTCCCAATTTATCGCTTCTTACCCCCTTCCCTCGCTGGTAACTATAAGTTTGTTTTCTATGTCTGTGAGTCTATTTCTGTTTTATAAATAAGTTAATTTGTCTTTTTTTTTTAGATCCACATATGAGTGCTATCGTGGTATTTTTCTTTCTCTTTCTGACTTACTTCACTTAGAAAGACATTCTCCAGGTCCATCCATGTTGCTGCAAATTGCATTATTTTTAAATTATTTTTTATGGCTGAGTAGTATTCCATTGTATAAATAGACCACAGCTGCTTTATCCAGTCATCTGTTGATGGACATTTAGGTTGTTTCCATGTCTTGGCTATTGTAAAGAAAAAATAAATAATTGGTTTACATGATGGATTATGGGTCATTTTTATATCACATGTTAAAATAACTTTTTTATTTTATTATCTTTTCTTTGTGTGAGGGGGATACATATAATAGAACTTCAGAACTGGCATTCTTAACTGGCAGGTACCTTAACAAAAATTTGGGCTCTTTGATGTTACAAAATTTAAGTGTTCATTATAGATAATTTATAAAACATAAAAAGCCAGAATGAAACAAAATTATCTGTAGTTCTACTATCCAAGCGAATACTCAGTTACTCACAGTTGGGTTTTTTCCATCCTATTTTTTTTCCTTTTCTACAACATAATCATGATCATACTGTATAGTATATGTAATTTTATATACTGCTTTAAGCATATACTATAAATATTTTCCATGTTATTTTACATATTTTATTAATATTTTTAATGTGTTTAGAATGTTTTATCATGTAGATTGTGTTTATTCAGTGTTCCTTAATTTTTGGACTTTTGGATTATTTATAGATTTTCTCCATGATAAATCATGCTTTGGTGACTGTCTTTGGGGGCATATGTATATTTTTTGTTATTGTTTGGATGTTTTTAGAATATATTTCCTAGGGTTAAAAATGTACAAAAATTTATATAATACAAATATCTTTTTGAAGAATGGAAATCTAGGCTGAAGAATCAGACCAAACACCTAAATTTAAGACTAAAAATTTTTAGGCCATGATATAAGGGTTTCACATATGTGACTTAAAATGATGCAGTGTAATGAACTTAGTGCCAGTTTACATTTTGCTGTTTTGAAAAGAAGAATCCTAATTAATGCACAAAATTTGAAATGATACAAATGCCCCAGATTTATTAAAAAAAAAAAATCCTGAAGTATAAGGTGGGCTTATATTGTGGCCACATGATGGCACCACCGTGGCTCATGAGCAGCATTTCCTGTCTGCTCAGTGCTTCTAAGTGAGGTGCTTGTATTGCTTATGCGGTTATTTTATCTTTTACTATTGTAATAATTTAATTTTTTTCACCTTCTGTAACAGGTGTGATACTGGCATTCATTTTAGTTACCTTACAGAGTTACTATTTCAAGGAAGTAACTTTGGAATAGAAATTAAAGGTGATGAAATACCATGAAAGAGGGCAAACACGACCACAATACTTAAAGTTCTGTTAACTTGGAAGAGAGGACTCTGAAAAAAAATACTGACAATTATGCTGTGAAAATAAAAAGCAGCATCAGAGAAAAATAAACAATTGTGATTATAGATAATTTGTGCTCTGAAACAAATCTTCCCTGTTTTATATGATTCTTTCTATCTAGTTTGCATTCAAAGAGACTTCATTCCAATGCAACTTTCCTGTGTGTGTGTGTATGTATCTGTGTATATTTACTGTGCATCTGTGTATATTTATAGATTTTTGTAGTTTTTAAATAAATGCAAAATGTAACAATTCAGAAGAGTGAGACTAAATTATTTTAAGAGTTATAGACATTGCTAGAATTTATTTCTAAAGAGATATATTTTGAAATTTTTCTTTTGCCTTTTCAACTGAGAGAAAAGCTTAGCTCTGGAAACACCCTATATTTGGGGCTGTTAGGAAATTGTTATGAAAAAGCTGTTTTAGCCACACTGTATCCTGACAGTATAGTTGCAGAAAGTTTCAAATCTCAAAGCTGGGAAGAATCATACTGATATCTAGGAGAGGTAGAGCTAAGTTTAACTCATCTCTCCTGACTTCTGTGTCAGTGATCTTTAAATCTGACCATATTAATTACCTGAGGTGTAGATCTGTTAAAGAATAGCACGAAGACTTTATGACTGTTTGATGGATAGAGCAGTGTCCGTCGTAATTCTAATGTGTGACTTTTCTCTTTTCTCAGATCCTGTTTGGATTCCGATTGTTGCTGTTGTACTGCTCTTTCTGATACTTACCCCGGTAGTTGTGTTTTGTCTCATCAAGAAGGTGAATCCACTTAAGAAAGAAAACATCATGTTACCCAAATCCTTGGTAGTGTATTTAAGTATTTTTTCTTTAATTATATACAGTTGGCCCTCGAACAACATGGGTGTGAACTGTGAGGGTCCACTTAAACTTGAATTTTTTTTCAATGAATTTATTGAAAAATGCTTTGGCGGTTTGTGACAATTTGAAAAAACTCAAAGACAAACCACGTAGCCTAGAAATATTCCCAAAATTAGGGAAAAGTTAGGTATGTCATAAATGTGTAAAATATGTGTAGATATACATATAACATATGAAATACATATTAATCAACCATTTGTGTTATCAGTAAGGCTTCTGGCCAACAGTGGGTTCTTAGTAGTTAAGTTTTTGGAGAGTCAGAAATTATCCGTGGATTTTCGACTGCACAAAGGCTCAGTGCCCCTAACTCTCAGTATTGTTCAAGGGTCAACTGTACACTAAAATGTTAATTTGAATCTTTTCGATAGTTCTTAAAATTTGTTTTTTAAAGTAGAAGGATGTTCAGCAGCATGCCACCTATCACAAATCACTTAATCTACCACACATCCAAAACCACATGCTTTTTACTATGCACCAGATACTTTTTAACGCATGGGGCAAAAGCATAGGTAGACAAGTCTATTAAGGAGCTTAATGTCTAGTGGGAGAAAAAGAAAAGTATTCAGTGGGTGAACAGTGTGATAGGTTTAAAGCTAGAGGTTTTACATACATGCCAGTGAGGACTTCGTCGGCCTTTGAAGGGCAGGATTAGTCGTGGCTTTTCCAGAGGCAGTGATGTCTGAATAGTCTTGAGGGACAGACAGGCGTTTATCCAGGTACTGAGGGACAGTACGTGCTAAGGCCCAATGTCAAGAAAGCATCACTTCTGAAAATCTGCAAATAGAGAAACACTTCATTGTGGCTGGAGTGTAGAAGGAAAGACGGCCAACAGTGAGACCAAACTAGAAGTTTGACATTTTAATGCCTAACGTTTAAAAGCCTTTGTATGAGGAAAAGAGCATTTTAAGGTAATAGAATGAGAACTATTTAAGTCAAGTATGATAGGGGTAATACCTGTAACATGCAAAGGGCATGTTTAAGTTTGGTAGGAAACATGACCTTTAAGTAGAGGGGATAATAAGAACTGTCAACAGCTAATAGACAACTCATGTGTGAATTACAGTGTTTACCCTAACTAGTAGTGAAGCACAAACCAGCCTCGCAACTATTTTACACTCACTAGAGAAGGAAAAACCTGAATATCCATTAGTACCTTAGTAATAGAACCGCTGTACACTGGGAAATGGTAATTACAGCCTTGTGGGAAGGTAAGCATGCAAGGGGTATACAGAGTAGTGGCACCATTAACACACACACCACACTCTTAGATTTAGTAATCCCACTCCTAAGAATTAATTCTTTAAAAAATTTCATAAAGGAAAAGATGTATAAAAATATTCACTCCAGCATGTTCCATAAATGGTTGAAGTTTGGAAATACCTTAACACTTAGATAAATTATTTAATCATCAGTATAAAATTATTAAGCCAATGAAAATTAGAATTATGAAGGCAGATGGTGCAAATACTACGTGAAATAAGGAGCTGTACTCCTGTTATAAATGTAACATGCATACACATGGAAGGTAGTACACAAAAAGTTGGTGAGATAGTGACTTTCTAAAAACGCTAAAAACTTGTTTTTCATCTTGATATAATATATTTTCATTTAAAAGAAGGAAAAAGCAACCATCAGATTCTATTACATTGTTATCCTAAATATGCCATTTAGTGTTCACCCATTACCCTTAGATCGTTTTTGTTTTTGTTTTTGTTTTTGTTTTTGGATAGACACTTAAGTTTAATAATTATTTTTAATCATTGATTTCTGTTTCCTTAGCTGTCTGTGGTAAAAAATGGCTCTTTAGAGACAAAACCTGAGCCAAAATATATATCACCCATCATCTACCAACCAATTGCCCTAGAAAACGAGCAGTTGTCTCCAGGGACAATTTCAAGCGTGCTTACTGAAGACAATCCAGGAAAAGCGGAACACGGAGATCTTTCTAGTGAAACGGAAGTGGTGACCACTGAAGAAAATATTTCTGACTTGTTCCCTAGTAGCCCTGTGACCTCAGTAGAGACAGAGAATTCTGTCCACTCAAGCAGTAACCAGTCTGAACCCTGCAGCATCACTTTAAATGCCTATCACTCCAGAAATGGTTCTGATGGTGGCCTTGTGATACTGAACAACTGCTGTGACTCCGAAAGTAATAAAACTGAAATAAAGACAGAAGGGCAAGAGCCCGTAACACTGAGAAACACTACCACCTCCTTTGGTTATGATAAACCACATGTGTTAGTGGATCTGCTTGTGGACGAAGGTGCTAAAGAGTCCTTGATTGGTTACAGACCTACAGCGGATTCCAAAGAGTTTTCATAAGATCAACCAAGATGCACCAGCTTGTACAACGTGCTTTTCCCACGTAATTTTCTCGCTTTGAAAATTGTGTCTTGTTGGTATCAACCAAGTGGAGTATCATGGTTTAGATAAATGTATAAAAAGAGGCTGTTTGAAACTGTCAGAGTTGGTCTGAAGACTGCAGAGACTCTGTAAAAAAACAAAAAACAAAAACAAACAAACAAGGTCACATAGGAACCTTTCCATCTAAATGTGTTAACCGTGCCAGTGAATGCTCTCTAATAACTCTGCTTCCTGTGATAGAAGATGATACCCCCAGGATCTTTTCTAACCACTTCTAGAGATTAAATGGATTTTTTTCTGTGCCTCATAGTGGTATTTGCTTTTGGTAGTTTATGTATATAGGCTTTCAGAAGTAACCTGAATGCTTTTGAAAATTGTACTTAAAATTTAATTGAAATGAACAGAATTAATAGAGTGTGTACATAGCATTTATATATTTTTTATGGAACATATTTAGAGATTTTTAAATAAAATAATTCTAAAATTCATTTTTGTGTTTATTCACTTAGGCAGTTAATTAATATTATTTATTCATTTGCATTAAAATATTAATATTTTATTCATTTGCTTGTTTCCATTCACTAATATTATAGAATCACTTTCTAATTATTCATATCTTTAAAACAGTCCTGAAAATAGACTAATTTTTTAAAATGGGCCCTTTTATATCTATATTTTAATATTTAGCAACCGGTGTACAAAACACACACAGGCTTTGTGTTCTAAGCTTTCTGGGGAATAAAGCAGATTTAGCTACAGAGCATGAAGTTTGAGGAGTCTCTAGTGTAAACATGGGGGTCAAAGCTACAGGAGTGGGTGAGGAAGAACTGAAAAGTATGAAATACGAAGAAAGAATCCCCAACAAGAGGCAAACCAAGAGTTTACACAAACGTTCTTGGGAGTTACTAAGAGGATAGGAATTAACTGAGCAAAAATAAAACAGTAAAGTGCAAACTACACAAGCAAATTAACAAACCATGGGAAAAATATTTTTCATTTAAAAGTGCAAATTAAAACGAGGAGCTAGTTTAATTAGTGGGAAAACAGTACTAGTATGCTCACTTACTGGGAATAGTGTCTTATGAATTTCTTTTTTTAACCTATAGGAATGCACATAACTTTCCATAAAAATATGTGTTCTTCACAGAGTCTAATCGCTATTGTGGGAAAATTATGAAAAGTAAATCCTGAAGACATGAAAAATGCACACATTAGACTGGGCAAAAGCAGAAATATGAAAATAATAGATACAGCCAAGGATAAGGTAATAGTTACTGCTCTTCATAAGGACTGTACTAGGCATTACTGCCAATGTGAATGGAGTACCTGTTTGTTTATGCTATCTAATTCTAACTGATAATCTTTTTCCTCTCTCCCAGTCTTACAGCATTAAAATAATGCTTTTACATGCATTTTGTTAATAATTAGTCAAGTTGAGTATATTTTATATCATTAGATGTTTTGTACTTCTTTTGCAACTTGACTAACATCCCTTGCCCATTTCTTTCTAGGCTGTTTGTCTTTTTTATTGTATTTTATTGTACTTGCTCTACATTTCCCCCTTCTATGCTGCTACATGCTACAGCTTGGACTCTTTTGGTCACTTTCTACTAGAGATACCAATCGGGAATGAGTGAACAAACAAAAAAAAAACATACAATGAACTGTTTCCAAAATACCCCGTTTCATCTCATCTTTAAAACTGCCTGTCAGGAGGAATTGCTGTACCCATTTAAGATGAGGAAATCGTGACTAGTCAGATTAAATGATTTACCCTGGGGGCGATGGAATGGGGATTCCGCCTCCCATACTTCCTCCAGTAAATCCTCAGCTGTCTGCTGGTCTTTATTCACACATTTGGTGACAGAGAGACCTTTGAATAGAGAATGTTTTCTGGGACACTGAGAGACTAGAAAAGTAGAACTATTTTAGAAATAGTTACAAACTAAAGGAAAAAGGGGAGGGATTAAGCAGATAGAGGAAGGTAAGCCAAAAGACACCCAGCTCTTCTTTTTGTTGAGTACCAATTGCCACATTCTGTGAAAGTGTGCCAAGATCAGTGAACTGTTCATTTCCATCATTTACCCCCATTGTTTTCCCGCAGGGATAGAGCCAAACCAGATATGACTCACCCTCTATCCGTAGGGATCCTCTTTCCACACAGCAGGATTCCTGCTTGAATGTTTGGGAAACACCATGACAGCTATCAACTCATCAAGCCTGCAGGAGAGACTAAAGTTTATCAAGCTTTTGCTATAACAAGACATTAGCCAGATTTCTCTTACTGACCCTCCAAGCCACCTGGTGAGGCAAGTATTATACATTTTTTCCCAAGGGAGGAAACTGGGGCATAGGAAAGGTACAAATTGTTCTTTAGGTAAACTAGAAATCAAAGAGGTGTATCTTAGGAATACAATATAGCAGAAACTCAGAATGCACATGAAACACTGAGGATGGCAGGGCTGGTACCTTGTGCAGCTGTGGAGTGGGGGCAGGGTACAGCTCAAAAGCTAAGGAATCCACCAAGAGCTGGGATATGGGAGCCAGGAATCCAGCATGACCTTAGGCAGGAACCTCTGCTGGTGTCTGGCTGAGGGAAAGACAAGGCTGGAAGAGGAGGCAGGCGCCCTCTGCAGGATGAAGTTGGAGAGCCTATTTTGGGGAACATGGGATGTTTAATGTGTTCAGAGACCACAAGAAATCAAATGAAGTTAGTCAGTGCTCTGGGTTTGTCTGGGCATTCTAGGGAGGGAGGATTTAAAAAAAAAAAAAGACATCCTATAAGTCTTTGAGTACCAGGATGGGGACCCCACTACAAATGGATGAAGTTCTGAGAAGTGTATTTTGAGGGAATCAAACTTAGGTTTCACCTAACTCCAAAGTCCAGGCTTTCCCCACTGTGGTCTGACATCTCTGGCTTCCTATAAAAAAGGAACACTAAACCTTCCACTTGTCTTTGAACATGTTATTCTTTAACTTTGACAACTCGCAGCTACCTCCGGAAATAGCCTTAGGTGGAGCTAGAAATACACTGTAATAAGATACTTACGGTGATTACTTATAGTGCTATAATAAAATAGTATGTAAAGTCATTAAAATGCAAAAGGCACTTCCCTTACTGTGAGGTTCATGAGGATTTCAAAATTTTATTTAGAAGCTCAGTGTGTATCTTGTTGATTGTCTGGCCATGTTTTCTCTTTGCTCATGAATAATAAATTAATACTAATCTTCTTCTCTGCCCTTCAACTCCCAGAAAGCAAAGCAATAAGACAGGGGATTTCCAAATTGCACATGGTTGCTAAAATCAGCATCTTTTTCTTCCCTGGGAATCATGAAAAAACAACAAAGAGAATTGAAATTTAAAAGCTTTTCCACTTGGAAAGTTTGTTTTTAGTTCTCTCTTTAAAAACCCTTGGATCAGAAAAAGTAATCTAAATTGCAGAAATGTTTAAGGAAAAAAATCACATTTAAGAGCCAAGGGGAGAACCTATGGGAGACATTTCAGAGTAAATTTCTCATGTACATACTTGTACTGATATAAAATAAATAATAAAACAAATGAAATAAATACCTGATGCAAGGAGTTTTTCTTAAAAAAAACAAATTAAATAGAAAAAAGACAGAAGAAATAAATTTAAACGATAAAAGGAGGTATGACTGAGATATGAAAATGTTTTAAAAAGTAGAACATGTAACTAATCACAAAATCTGTTTCCTCGAAAAAAATTTTAAAGATAAATAATAGATAACTTAACTAAAATAAGAAAACAAGGGACAAAATATCACTACACAAAATAGGAAATTATAAAAGAGATACCAGAGAAATGGGCAATTTGTTCATCATAAAGGAATAATTTGTTCAACCCTCTGCAAATAAACATAAAAGCATGAAGTGGACACTCTTCTAAAGAAAATATGATTTATAGAAACTGAATCTAGAAGAGATAGAAAAATCTAAGACTAATGATCATAGAAGAATTAGAATTATTAGGAAATGGCCAAAGAAACGCTATGCCTATGTACCTCCACGTGCTGCCCAGAAGAGCATCCAGATTATTTCTCAGGGAAATCTCTCTAACCTTCAAGGAGCAGGTAATTCCCAGGTCACACAGATTAATTTGTCCAACTGAAGGGTTGGCAACAGCGCCACATGATGTGGTAAAGGGCAGTGTTGCCTGTGTCTGACTGAACCACAGTGACTTCAGAGATCAGAGAATCTCAGCCCTCTCCCACCAGGACTCCCAACCCCCGACCATAAAAAACAGAGAAGAGTCTTCCTGTTCTTTTAACTTGAGTCTTGCAAATTCATGATGACTGCTACTATCACATTTCTTTTCACTGATTCATTTAATAAGCATTATGTGCTTACCCTGTGCTGGGCATCCTTCCTAAGGGAAGCAGTGAATAAAACATACAATGTACCTGATCTCATGGAACTTATATTCTAGTTGGGGAGGTAGACAACAAGAATGAATTAAAACAGAGTCCATCAAGTGATAAGTATGATGGAGAAAAATTAAGCAGATAAAAGGGTGGGGCTAAAAGCTGCCACGTTGGGTAGCCATGAAGGAATTCACTGATAAGATAATATCCCAGCTGAGTCATGAGGGAATGAGCCTGGATGTCCCAGGAAGAGCATTCAAGAATGGACAGTTAATAAAAGGTTCCAGTGTGGGATGTGCACAGTGTGTTTGAGAAAACAGCAAGAAGGCCATCAGGGCTGGAGCACTTCAGGTCAGGAAAAAAGTTAGGAGATGCATTTAGAGGAATAGAGCCAGATTATATAGTGCCTCATAGGTGGCTATAAGAATTTTGACTTTTATGTGGGAGAAATGGGAAGACATTGGAGGATTCTGAGCAAAGGCTCTGATCTAAAAGGTACACTCGGCCTGTCAGAGAGGACAGAGGCAGAGGCAGGAAAATGAGGCTGTGGCCACAACCCAGGCAAGAGATGATGGTGGCAAGGACCCAAGTAGGTGCAGTGGAGGGAGTGACAACCAGCTGGACTCTGGTTATGCCATGAAAATCTTTCCAGAGTCAGAGCAATGTACAGGCATGTGCTAGTGGTTGGGCGTGAAGATTGGTTACACCCAACAGAGTTTTTGAGGTCAGTAAAAGACCAGATCAAGAACAGTCAAAGAAAAATCAATAGCATCTTTTATTCAGGACAATATGAGTGAAGGGCAGAAAACATTATTTAATGAAGCCCCAAGTCCTATGAATGGAGATTTTTAAATAATGTATTAGTGTACATAGTCCAAAAATTAATCAAGACTAAACTTGATCAGATTGGTCATTGTTCTTATTGCCGGTACTTGAACAATGAAGTTCCTTTTTTTTTTTCCTGAATTGAAGTCCATAAGCTATTTTACAATGCATAGCAATTATTTCCAGAATGTGGAAGTGCTCAAAGGTCACAAGTATTACTCAGTAGAGTTATTGAGGGCCCAGCTGATAAGAGTTTCCCAGTTGTGGGTACTACAGGTATGTGATTCTCCATAGGTCTGAGGAGGAGAAGAGTGGTGTCCAAGTTATAATCTGTGATGGAACTTTAAAAGATATCTCGCTGCTAACTCAATCATAGAATGAGGGAAAGGGTATGGAGCAGAAACCCAGTCCATCTGACCCCCTTGGATAAACCCCACTGAAGTCATCCAGAACACCAGTTTTGAAACACTTTTCTTAAGAGAATGAGGAACATGTAGTCCTTCATTACCAAGACCTGGCTGAAGATGTTGTTGGCCCCCAAGGACTGGCACTCCCACACACCTAGCCCAGCATCTGGCATACAGCACGTGCTCAGTGAAGATTTGCTTGACTGAATAAACAAAGGAATGACTGGCTGAATCTTCTCTGACATCATTCTCTCTCTTTACAGAATGAATATTACAAGTGGAGAACAAGGCATTGTGACTTTTTTTAGGATTTGGTTTTTTTTAAATTGAAGTACAGCTGATCTACAATGTTGTGCTAGTTTCTGGTGTGTTAGAGTCAATTATACATATATATATATATATATTCTTTTTCACTTTAGGTTATTATAAGACATTGAGCATAGTTCCCTGTGCTACACAGTAGGTCCTTGTTTATCTATTTCATATACAGTAGTTTGTATCTGCTGATCTGAAACTCCTAATTTATCCCTCCCTGCCTATCCTCTTTGGTAACTAAAGTTTGTTTTCTATGTCTGTGAGTCTGTTTCTGTTTTGTAAATAAGTTCATTTGTGTCATTTTTTTAGATTTCACATATAAGTGATATTATATGATGCTGAGAAGGCTAGGCGACAGGGGGCACCCAGATGGTGCAAAGAGAACCTAAGATAGGCTGCATATTTCTTCTTTAAAAGCCTAAGTCAGCTGAGAAGCAATGGAAACTTCACCTGGAGGAAATAAGGAGTTTAGATTCAGAAGCCTGATCCAGCGCAGAGGTGTTGAAAAACGTGTTAGCTCCACAAACCCCTGCATCCTGCTCCAGCAGGGTACCTACTTCCCTCTGTAGAAGTTGGCTTCAGGAAGGTAGGGCAATGTCTATTTTATTTGCTGCTTGTATCCTTGCTGCAGAGAACAATGTCTGGCACATGGCAGGGCAACAAATATGTTACTGAATGAATGAATGGGTACTGCTCAACAACCATCACAATTTCTTACTAAAAGGGGCGATTCTACCAAGAATGTGAAAGCAGTTACCCAAGAAGAAAAAGAAATCAGAATATATTTCTTCTTTTGACCCAAAAATCCTCTTTTAAAAAAATCTTTTTTATGACTTTCTTGTGCTTTTATGTATAATTTTGGTGCCTCTAAAAACATGTGGTTAAAAAATGTTGGTAAGAAAACTGATGTAGTGAATCATGGGCAAAGAACAGATGACCTAGTTCGATTAGATTTCCAAGAAGATATGAAAAAGCTCTGATGTCGTTCGAAATGATTGTTCTCCGCCTTCATCCTTTTAAGGAATTACTTGGTTTGATGGGCTCAAAAGCTTTATCAGATTGCTGGAAGCTGAGGGTGGGCGTGTAAAAGGCAGAGGCATTAGCTGAGTGGGGCCCAGGGCCCCGTGGATTGGGAAGGTGGAGGAGGACAGCGAGAGGAGAGGCTGCGAGGAAGGCCGTGTCTGCGGCGGGGCGGGGCCGCGGCGGGGCGGGGCTGCTGAGGGTGTGCAGTGAATGCCAGAGAGGTTACTCAGGAAGCTTCCAAGAAGGAGAGAAAGGAAGAATTAACCAGAGACCCACCTGCTTGAAGCCCTGCCAGGGGCCCTGGGAGCTGCAGTCACCAAGCCCATCAATTAAAATCACCCTGTCAGCCAAGGCCTGTCCCTGGCAGCACCCCCGCCTCCTGGGGCCAAATTCCTTGAAGGCCTCACAGTTTGGTTCACTCACTCACCTGCGAGCACGTTGCACAATCCCTGGCCCTACCCTGCCTTCCAGTCTGCCAGTCCTCAGTGTTTTCCTTTCTTCTCACCTAACAAAGTTCTCAACAAAAACAAGCCTCCACATCAAAGTGACCTAACGGCAAATGGTTTTTGAAGTGATTCTTGGTCCGTATTACACCCAAACAATAAGACAGTCAAATCTATGAACAAAATGAAATTGGATTTGCTTCAAGGACCATGGTTCAAACAAAAAGGGGATGTTCGGTGGGAGGATTCTAGTTTCCTCTTCTATCCAGAGCTGTCCGCTCACTGAGGGGAACGCTGGTGTCCTGACCGGTCACACTCCCAACCATGACGCCTAAACACTGCTTTCTAGGCTTCCTCCTCAGCTTCCCCCTGACAGGGGCGGTAGGTAAGTGCTTCGTTTCTTTTTACTTGCTCTCAGCTTTGTCATCTGAGTACGCTCAAGGGGACTGTTGGAAATGGTATGCATGACTGGGACATTGTGCTGTACACCAGAGGTTGACACATTGTAATTGACTGTACTCCAGTTAAAAAAAAAAGAAAGAAAAAGAAAAAAAGAAATGGTAATGGTGCTTTTCTCAGCTTTGTAAAAATTTCAGCTTTCTGCTGTCAGGAAATAATCAGAACAGACGTGGGGTCAGTTTCTCTCTGCAGCCTGAGTTGAGTAACTCCATGTGGACTTAATGCGTAGCTCCTAAGGAGGAGGCACTCTAATGCAAGAAAAGGGTGCAAGAAACTCCACACGGGATGAATGAACACTGTCTCCTTAGCATTTCTTTTCTCTCAAGGGACGAGATAGCATAGTGGTTACCAGTATAGCTTCCTCAGCCAGACTCTGAGTCTGGATTTCAACTCTGCCATCTTTTTATCTAGAAAAAACATGGGCAGTTGGCTTAACCACATGTGTCTCGATTGCTTCATCTGTAGAATGGGGATTATAGGTCACTGTGAGGATTAAATGAGTTCATACATGCCAAGTGCTTAGAGCTATGCCTACCACAGAACAGAGACCATAAACACCATGTGAGAATTTGCTACTGGTGTTCATGGAGAGCTGTCCAAGAGCAGAGAGGATCTTACCACCCCAGGATACCTCTGAGCAAGGCCATCAGGACCCGCAGTTAACAGATGGGCACCTCTCAGTGTAAATGGCTCAAATAACTTTCCCAAGACTATCCAGTTGCCCAGTGACTGATAACAGAACAGTTCAAGCCTCCATTTCCCAGAAATGTGTGGATTTGAATAGACAATGTCTTTGGTCTTTGTTAATACCAAGGGCTTAGTTAGCAGGATACAGTGCTACCAAAATGACCTTGGCTCTGCATCCTACTAGACTTGTCACCTTGGGCAAGATACACAACTTCTTAAAGCCTCCATTTCCCCATCTTTAAGATGCACTAATAAAAATACTTACCTTATTTGGTGGTTGTGAGAGTGAAAGATGTAAAACTTTGAGTTCAGTTCCTGATGTATATGTCATGTTTGTACGTGTTCCGTGATTAATGAACGCCAGTCAGGCGGAGAAGGGGGAGGAGGAGGAGTATCTTCAGCCTCTCATTGCTTTGCTGCCTCCACTGGCTCCTCTGTCCCAAGGCTGTCCTCTCAGTTTGCTGTGGTAGGGGAGACTCAGACTCTGGAGGCAGAGTGCCTGGGTGCAAAATCAGCTTTGCTGCTGCTGCACCAGCGCTTTCACCTCTCCAAGACTTGGGTTCTGGTCTGTAAGAGGAAGACCGCAAGAGTCCCTTTTTCCTAGAAAAATTGGGTGGATTCAGTGAGCTCATGCTCATAAAATCCCCCGTGTCCCATCCAGAGTGATCTGCTATTTTCCTTGATGGTGGTTACAGTGGGGTTACCAAAATGAGGGAAGAAATCTGAAGACAGATGAGATAAAGGTCATTGAACCACCTATCTTCAGGACAGCAGATCAACTCTAGGCAGGGTCTTCAGGAAATTTGTCATCTCCTGAAAGCCTCTGGAGTTTTACAGACTAAGTATGATTAACTGGGTAGTGATTGCGATAAGCAAAACCAATGGTGGCAATAGATTCTTTCCAAGTAAACATCACCACTTGATAAACTGAAGGAAGTCCCAAAAAGTAAAAGTTAAAACAGACAAAAACAAAATAATAGTATTAACACTACTGATTAATACTATTGTGCTTTCTACTGTTGGTTACTATTGGTTGGTAAAAACAAATACCTAAAAAAATAGCCCGTTTCATTAGAAAATAACAAATCTTGAATGTTCAGAGCTGAGATCATGGGCTTAGGAGTACTTGCTTCCATCTTAACAATATTTGAGTAAAGACTTGAGAATGTGAAGAAATGAGGCATGTGGAAATCCAGGGAAGAGAGTTATAGGAAAAAGGAAAGGCCAATTCCGAGATCTGGGAGGGGACCTCCCCTAGCATGGCGGAGCAGGAGAAATAAGGCCACTCTGGAGAAGCCAGGGGTCGGCTGGCAGAAAATGACATCAGGGAAAAGACAGAGGATGTGCTTCCTGACTCCTCCTTCTGGCCACCTGCCTTTCCCTTAGCAGAAATTTCAGACCTGCCAGGGAGGCAAAGCTTTGCTTCTGCCCATTTTAGGTTTTCAGCTGGGACTGTGGTGAGTTTTTTTGTTTGTTTAACTTACACAATGTTACATGTCCAATTTATTCAATAAAAAAGATCAACTGGGACTCTAACAAAAAAGTCAGATTAACAAGGAAACAGTTTATTAAGGTGTGCAGCACACAACACTGGGGGAACTTAAACAAAGAGAAACTCATAATGACAGCTTAGAACTCTGGCTTGTGTGGCATCTTCAACAGAGAACAACACAACCATAGGAACAAGACAGGACAAAGGAAAGCAATCTTCGGCTTCCAAGGGTGGCAGTCTATTAGGAAAGTAAATCTGTGGGAGGAAACTAATGAAATAAGTTTTATTTGCAGATCCTTCTAGTGTCTTCTCTGGGCTGGCAAGAGACTATCTCCAGTAAAAGGAGAATTTATGTCCTGCCTTTAGGCAGAAAAGAGGGGAGGTTGAGAGAGCTTTTCCCACCTTTGTTGCTGCTTAATTGCCTTCAGCTCAAAATCATTTTTATGTCAAAGAGGCATATTTGGGGGTAACATATTCTGGTTTCCTTCAGACTCTAGAATGAAATTCTGTCAAAGGTCTCTTGTGTCCAATGGACTAAATGCAGATGAGACTGGCCTCCATGTCACATGAATTGAGCAAGAAAGCACCAGCTGTACCAGTGTGAAATTATCCCCCTTCCAAGCATGTCTCCTGTTGAGACTCTTCTCAGGCACATGAGGCCCCACGGTAGGGCCTTGGGCTGTTTCCATCCACAGCCTGGACCAGTCCCCCTGAGCCATACACCAGGTACCTGGAGCCAGGATGCAGGCAGGTGAGAGCAGCCCCTCAGGGGTGGAATAAAGCCAGGTCAGCTGAGAATGGTAGAGGGCAATGAGGCAGGACACAGAGCTGTAGCAAGAACCAGAGATAGGAGGACCGAGTCCCAGGCTGAGGTCCTGGAGGCAGAATTGATCCCAGACGACACCTGGCCCTGGAGTAGGGGTCATGCAGGAAGGTGGGCAAGCGGCCAGGTCTGGGCCTTTCATCCCAGGCATCACACTCCATCATCACCAGGGAAGGGACCCAGGACAATATCTTTTCGCTCCTATTTCTTCCTCTCCAGCTTGGGAATGGGGTGGGAGTTTATCATTCAGCCTTTTTATAGTCTGTAACACAACTGTTTGGAAACTTTAGCATGCATCAAAATCATCACACTGAGGATTCAAAATGTTGACTTATGGGCTCCGCTCTCACCATCTGCACTTAAGAGCAGCTACTTCAGGGAATCCTGATGCAGGCATCACATTGAAAACGACTGCTTATAACAATGGCGCTCCTACAATGCTTAGTGTTGTTCCTTTTCTTATTATTTTAGAAACTCAGTCAGCCCATCAGTCTCTGAAGCCTCAGCGAGTACATTTTCAGTCCCGAAATTTTCACAACATTTTGCACTGGCAGCCTGGACGGGCTTGTACCGGCAACAGCAGTATCTATTTTGTGCAGTATAAAATGTAAGTAATCTGAGCTGGCTCTGGCTGGTGGAGATGGCCACTGAGATTACAGCTTCTAGAATGCAGTGGAGGATTAGGATCTGAGCTTTCTTTCTCAGTTTCAGAAGGGTTGAGAAGAAGCAGAAGTCAGGGCAGGAGTGTCTTGTCTGCCCTAAATGTGACACAAAATGCATGATGATGAACACTCCTTTGGGGGAGACAACGTTATCCCTTGGAGACCCAGCACTGAGACCTTACAGGCTCAGCCTTTGGCTTCATAGCAGAGCCTGACACTCAGTAGACTCTCAATACGTATTCGTGTAGTGAATGTTAGAAGCGATTTGTTTGCACATAATAGGTACTCAATTAAATTGATGTACTATTAATAATTTAAAAAGAAGTTGCTGAACACGTGAATGTGAGTGTGTAAACTACATTTGAAATTTAAAGATCATTTTTTTAGAGTGGGCTTACTATTTGGAAAACTCCTTCCAAAAATGGATGTTTCCTGTAAGTATGAACGCAACTTGGAACATGCCGCTGCACGTTCCTCTCGTGTGGTCCTCAGGCTAGTTCTGGTGGATCATTGCCAAAACTCAGATATAATCTACTCCTTTCCTGGATCAAGGCTTGGAAACAGAAACTTCTAATTTACAAATGGCAGATTTTCCTGCCCTTACATCCCATATGTTTCGGCGGGGGTGGATGTGGGGACACAGGGGGAGAGTTGAGGCTGTTCCTTCTCTTACATAGTTTGAGATGCTGGCTGAACATGAGACAGGAGATATTACAATTTAGCTTTTATGGTTTTTCTAGTTAGAAATTCAGAAACTCAGATGCAGCTATGGACCAAAATAGCCATTTTTATGCCATAAATTCATTCATGTCTCTCCAGCACAGGGTATGTCCAAGGTCAGATTTTTCGATTAATCAACCTCTCCCTAACTTCATAAGGACTGTCTCCAGAAGTTTCTCAGTCTTTAACTGCTGCTGCTTTTCTCAATATATTTTGTGTAGCAACTGTAAACTTTACAAATCTTTATAATAAAGATTTCTCCACTCCAAAAATAGATATGTGCATCGTTGGAGATGCTTCCTGCACATGAGAAGTAGAGACTGGTGATCTTTTTCTTCCTCTCCCTTACATAGCATAAATATGTCCAAAGTGGGCCTACTTATGTTCCAACATAAGAAGTGGATTAGAAGTTATTTTATCCATGAAAGTAATGAAGATTAAACTTTGGGGTCCCCTGGAAGAATTTCATAGTTTTAATTCTTTTTCTTAAATAGGGCTCCCAAACTTGTATAAAATTCAGAATACCTGGATCTATTCTTACCTATGTGGTAGTTTCAACAACACAATGCAGATTTATGTTTTTGAAATCTTTCACTTTGGGTCTACCCAGTTCTCGTGGGTCTACTGTTAATATCTGTGCCATTTGGCATAGGACAAAAAAATGAGGTATTACATTAAAAGAGAAGCCATTCATCACAGCTAAATTCAGCTAGCAAAGACAGTATCTCATCAATAAAAAACATTAAATTGTGCTCCAGGTATGTTATGATGTCTTCTAATATAATGAAACTGCTGTCATCATAGAGTTCCCAGAGTATAGGCACAAACAACATTCCTCACTATGTGTCTAGAAAGTTATATTTCAAGTCCTTCAACAAGTATTTTGGAAGCTTTTCTCCCAGCCTCTAATTCCTGCTTGTGCCCACCACCATCTTACTGTTTTTTTCTCTGATTTGTAACCGGTAAGGAGGGGAAGTATGAATCTTCCCTTTGGCTGTTGCATCACCCCACAGTCTTCAGCTGAATCAGCCTAGCTGGCTCTTTGCCTCATTACCTTTGCTTCGTGGGCACTCCTCCCTTTCTCCCAGCCTCTAGCTGCAAACTCCTTATATAGCCCTCACTACAACGCCCCTTCCCCCCAACCCCGTTTGTCAAAAAGGAGACCGACCTTACTTGTTGGGCAAGCATCACCTGAGATGAAAAGTGGTAGCAACTTCTCAGAATCAGCCACATGACTCAACAACTAGCTGATGAGAAGTGAAGAAAACCATAAGCAGTTGAAACCTCAGGAACATTAAGGATGTGGAGAGCTCATACTCAAAAAAATGGAAGTTGGTTCAGACGTCAGAAGAAAACCTTCACTAAGTACTAAAAAACCCCAAATCCTTACGCTAGAAATAGAGAAGTTATCAGACTTGAGTTTATCTTTCATCAAGATAACATTTTAATTAACAGAAAGGAAAAATTTTTAAAACATACTTAAGAGTAGCTGTCAACTTTCACAGTGGTACTGATATTGAAGGACAGATTGCAACCAGTCTAAAAAATCGACAGACTGAAAAAATTGAAGACTCTTTCAGTGAAATAAAGGAACTCAGAGCTTTGTCTTTTCCTTTCTACAGGTATGGACAGAGACAATGGAAAAATAAAGAGGACTGTTGGGGTATTCGCGAGTTCTTTTGTGACCTTACCGATGAAACGTCAGAGATATGGGAACCTTATTACGGGAGAGTGAGGACGACCTTGGCTGGGATCCACTCAGGCTGGACCATGACACAGCGGTTCACTCCCTGGTGGGAAAGTGAGTTCTGTGGACTTTCGTAGCATTTGCTCTCCCTGACTTAAAATAGCCCTCACAGAGCATGGCTAGCTACCTGGCCCTCTTTTTTGCTGAGGGCCACTCCACCATCTCATTTGATCTAACTCTCAGAACGACTCTAGCAAATGGCTCTTACTATTCCCCTTTCACAGCCCAGGAAATCACAAGCCTTCAATAGCAACCCTGGTCTCACATCTTGTATTCCCCCAAGTCAGCGTTCACATTTGGTTGCATCCAACTGCAGAGCTGACACGCTATCCCACTGCTGAGATGTTGCCTCCTAGAAAAAAGAAGTCTCTTTAGATAGCAGAAAAGGAGTCATATTGCCCTTCCTGAGCATGAGAGTCAAGTTCCTGAAAATACACATTAGAAGGATTTTTTGTTGAAGAAATTAAGAATTTTAATTACCTCTCCAAAAGGGAAGAACCAGAGTGCTCTCTTGTATTCATTTCTCAATGATGTATATTCTTCTTCTAGTTTATTCATAATCTCAAAATAATATATTATAGCCTATGGTTCAAATTATGAAAGAAACCATTACCAATAGACTTTATGGAAAATAGTAGACAAAAGGCATGGGGAAAAAAAAAGAAAGTGTTTAAAGTATATGTACAAAGATATGCAAAACAAAACCAAGTAGAAAATACAGGTATTTATTACAGTCTTCACTATTGCAACTCATCATGAAGCTGTAGTTAATATTTATAATTTTTTTCCTCATTATTAACTCAACATTTGCTTTCTTTTCACTCAGCACCTCAACCGTACATTCTCAAGGAGTTTGAGTCTTTTTGATCTTTCCTGTATTAGCATAACATAGTCTTATATTAGTTTTTATCACTGAATATAGGAGTTCTAAGGGGCACCCCAGAGGATGCCAAGCATACTTGACCCTGTTGTATATATAACAACTCTATTTCCCTTTGAGAATCAGAACCAGTCACCCTAGATGACACAAGGAGCTCATTTTCTCCTTGTTGGTTAAATGGTATAAGGAACTCCAGACTGTCCAGAGGCTGCCTCAACTTCCTATTCTTGAAAACCACTGTTGTTATAACCCAGAAGAATTAAGAATCAAGTGTATGGGGAACAAACCATTTGATGAGTCGTTCACTGTGTTTAATAGTGAGAATTGCCCCTCCTGCCTCCACTTCTTGTATCCTAGACCATGAATTCCATCTATGGAAGAAATAGCACCATACATTTGATATAAGGTTAGAGAATATACCAATTCAAATTTCACCTCTCAAAATATTGTCTCTCACACTGAGTTTTCAATTATCTACTCTACCTTCCTATCAAGTCAAGGGGTTCTGAGTGATGGGGTATATTATATGGTAAGGCCAAATATTCCTGTGGATATGAGACCACTTCTTCCATGTTGACCTAGATTTTCTGTCATAAGCAATATATTGTGGAGTACTATGTTCATGAACAAGGCATTTGCTATATCTATGGTGAGGAGTGAACATGGGGACTGCTGATAAAAGCATTGAAGCAGGAAAAACAAATGCAAAATCAGGAAAGTATCTATTCCAGTGTCTCTTGTCCCCTCCCTATTGGAAGGGATCAAAAAAATATGCTAAATAAAATGAACTCACTGGGAGTTCAGCACCAGTCCTTTTTACTGGGAAATTGGACACACTGCAGTGTTGGTCCAGTCTTGGCAAGCAGAAGTCCATATTGTCAAGTATGTATGGCTTCCACTCCTTTCAACATAACCACTTTGTTCTGAGCCTGTTGAGCAAGTACAGGACACCAGGGAAACAGGTTCTCACTGCCTCCATCCAGATTTTTTTAAAAGAATGTTACTGAGATATAATTCATACCCCTTACAATTACTCCTATAATATATACAAGTCAATAATTTTTAGTATATTCACACATATGTACAACCATCACCTATAGTCAATTTTAGGACATTTTCGTCACCTCAGAAAGAAACTACACACTCTTTGGCTATCACCCTCCTATTCCCTCCCTCCTTCAGCCTCTCAGCCCTACATAACCACTAATCTACCTTCTGTCTCTGTAGAGTTCCCTCATCTTGATACTTCATGTGAATGGAATCATATAATATGTGATCTTTTGTGATTGACTTCTTTCATTTAGGATAATGTTTTCAAGGTTTGTCCAGGTTGTAGCACATGTCAGTGCTTCATTCCTTTTTGTGGCTGAATAATATTGCAGGACATGGATATACTGCACTTCGTTTATCCATTACTCAGTTGATGGACATTTGCGTTGTTTCCGCCTTTTGACTACTATGAATAGTGTTCCTGTAAACATTCATGGACAAGTTTCATGTAGATGTGTTTTTATTTCTCTTGGGTATATACCTAGGAGTGGAATCGCTGGATCACACTGTAACTTTCTGTTTAATTACTTGAGGAACTGTCAGACTAAAGCAGTGGCACCATTTTACATTCCCATCAGCAATGTATGAGGGTTTCTATTTCTCCACATCCTCAGCAACACTATCTAACTTTTTTCTTATAGCAATCCTGGTGGATATGAAGTGGTATCTCATGAAATTTTTTTTTTTCAAAAAAATCCTCAAGTGTGATCCATTAGGCTAGTTGGCAGGATTAGCATTGGCTGACATGAGGTAAGACTTTGGCTCAATTCTATTTAAATTGAGATAGTGTTGAGAAGCTCTTATGTTCTTTCTATGCGGCTATCCCCAGTAAGGAAAGAAAAAAAAAAGAACTAGAAAAGACTATCCCAGTACCTCTTAGCTAGAAGAATAGGAAGCCCAGGGCATAAAAGAGTTCAAATTGTACTTGGTGAGGCAGTAGTGAGGAGCCCTGCCTACTCGGCTGTTCCTTCACCCTCCAGCTTTGCCCTCTCCTGCTACACAGCTCCTGAGGCTTTTTGAAGAACATGTTTTAAAAAACATGTTTCTAAGGCATTAGGACAGTATGTTCCTAGAATCTGTGATACAGGCCTAATGAGCCAGCTGGACATCTTGACTCATTTGAGACCTGTTTCTGGGCAGCAGGAAGTTATTTTGGTTAGGAAGTTCTGGTTTCTGTTGTCTATCTAGAGACAAAGCAAGATTTTTTAAATTTTTCTCTAAAGTTAAAAGCAGGATTTGAGGCTCCATAAGATTTCAGAATTATCTAACCCCAGAATTTCTTGGATTAAAATAATCGTGGAGTTTTAGAATAGGCTTGATTTTCTAATGGAATGGGCTAACTTCAGGCTAAATAATCGCCTTGCTTCTTTATTCCTTCAGCAAGTATTTGTAAGCACTTACTATCTGGCGTTATACTAGGTCCTGGGAAGGAAACAGTAAGCATAGCAGAAGCAAAATCTCTTTCTTCATAGAGCTTTCTGTTTAATAAGGAAGATAGACATTAATAAAATAATCACACAAACAAACATACAATGATGCCGACAACAGATGGTACAGAAGAGCCATGCAGCACTATGAAAGCCAGGTCGAGGAGGGACCCGATCAGGGAGGTCAGGAAAGGTGTCTCTGGGAAAATGACACTTGAGGTGATATCTAAAGATGAGTAGGCATTAATTCTGCAAAGAGGGCAGAATAGAGCATTCCAGGCAAAGGGAACAGCATTGGCAAAGACCCTGTGGGGGTCATGGCAAATACAAGAGACTGAAAGACAACTCATTTGTTGAAGAAGAGCAGGCGGGGGGTGGAGGGCACAAAATGAGGTGGGACTGGAGCACCATGAATGGGAATTTTCTGTTAAGGTGTTATGACTTCCTCCAGAAAAATGTAAATTTAATCAGGGGGCCATGTGATCAGATTTGTGCATTGAAAATATCATTTTGGCTATATTTGAGGGTGCATATCAGAAAAATACAAATTAGATACAGGTAGGTAGATCCCTGTAACAGTCCACGGGAGATGGGATTTGGCTTGAACTGGGGTGATGAAAAGGGCTATAGAAAATCTATTGTTGGAGGAACATTTTGGTAGGAAAAATTAGCAGGTCTTGGTGATGGGTTGGCTATAGGGTCAAGGGAGAAAGACATGTTGAAGATGACGTCTAAGTTTGTGGTTGGCATAACCAGATGAATCACTGAGATGTTTTTGATGAAGTTCAATGGAAAAAGACCAGCTGGACAGGGTGAAGGGTAATTGAGATCATGAGTTTAATTCTGAATATGCTGAGTTTAAGATGCTTTCCAGACACCCAAGAAAAATATCTGTATAGATCCAAGGATCTATTAGAGACACAAATTTGTAAGTAATTTGCATATAGTACAATGCTTGAGTAGGGAAGATAAATCTTAAAAAGAGATTGAGACAAAACAACCAAAGAGATAGGAGGAAATCAGAGGACTGCTTTATTTGTGAATGCCACAGGAAGAGAATACTTCAAGAAGAGAGCAGTCAATTAGGAAAACGGTGCTGTGAGCTCATGTTGTCTTAAATTGGCCATTGTAACATAATCACAATCCAGTGAATGGGCCAAGAATGGTCACTGAGTCACAAAGTCCGTCATCATAGATCACAGATTAGGAGTCCCTGTGAAGTCCGGAGCCAGGCTCCCTGGTATTCCTGGGCCAATGCTTGAAATATGTGCTTCACCTGTATTTAGGGTTAAATAACACATTAGACAACCCAAATCTAAGATAATGAATTGATAAATTCAGAGGAGAAGTTCTGTATGCATATGATTAAAAAAAATTCTTTAACAGTCATAACTTGGGCAAGAAGGGACAAATATTAGTCAGTTTAAATATAAATATTTTAGTGAAAAAATACAAATGATGTTTAATCTTGACAGTATTTATCTTCAACTAATTTCTACCAAAGTAAGTCTAAACTCTGAGTCACACAAAAGAAAAACTGGGTTTTTGTTTCTTTCTGTTTTTTGGGGTGCTAAATATAAAAAGAATGTTAAAAATATGTTTTTTTAATCTAGGAGAAAATTAATTATACATCGTACTAGCCTACAAAACTGAACAGTGACTCATTCTTCTCTCCTTGCAAGTGATAGGCAAGAGGTCAATGGTCACCAGAATTTGGAGCATGAAAACCATATACGGGGTGAAATATCAACCACTTTGCAGGATTAAAATGTAAACAACGGGGAATTCCTTCTTCAAGCAATTAGGCAAAATTTCCAACCTAGTTGAAAAGTGAATTCATAATTTTTGGTTCCAAATCAAATAGTTGGGTGGTGGTAGAGTGGGAATCCTCCTCTTCTAAAATGGCTGAGAAATTCTGGATAAAATACAACACATTCTCTTAACTCTGTAGAGGAGCATGAACAAAGATAAAGGAAATCTCCAGGAGTGAAAACAAGGTAGCTGGAAACCACAGGAGAAGCAGTGAAGTCCCACTGCCACAAGGGCCTTTGCCCAATTTAGTAACTAGACCGTGGGAGGAAACAGCCACTCCTGGGGAAGAAGACAATGTCATAAGCCAGCACAAAGTGGGGAGTTTCCGGCCATAAAATCTTCTACCCTCAAGGGGCTGCACTCTCCATGAAACAGCAGACCAGGAAAAGCCCTTCCAGCAAGGGAGGAAACAAAGAAATGTGTATGTTTCAGTCTTGATTGTGTTAGGAATCAAGTGTTTCCTAAATTCAGAAAAGTTTGAGATTCAAATATACACAACTCTCATGTTTCAGAAAACACCAGCTTGAGGTTGTGCCAGCTTGATGGTACCATGGGATGCCTTGCAAAGCCAAATACTTAAACCCAAATTCAGAAGCTGCACCACACAGATGAGGTGTGTGGTCTATGTCCGTGGTGCAGTTCAGTGGTGTGACTATGGTCTTTTTAATACATGAGACTGGGTCCATTGGGAAAACAAGAAGTCTCAGTCCCCTACATCACCCATTTACAAAATCAAGTCTGGCTCGATGAAAACAATAAAACTTAGCAATGACAGACTGCAGGCCAAACTGAACCTGTGGAAACAAAATTGTATCCGATTATAGTCACACCCATTCGTTTACATTTTGTCTGTGACTGCTCTCACTCTACAGCTGTAAAGTCAAGCAACTAACACAGAGCCATATATGGCCCACAAAGCCTAAAATATGCATTGTCTGGCATTTTACAGAGGATGCTTGCTGGCCTCCATTCTGTAAAATAACGTGGGAGAAGATTTTCGTGATTTGGGGCTAAGCAGACTCCCAAAAGTACTAATGATGGAGAAAATGGCTGGTAAATTAGACTACCCTAAAATTATGAACCTCTGTGTATCAAAATATACATTAGAATGATGAAAATGTGAGCCACAGAGAGAAGATATTTATATACATGTTTTTGACAAAAGATTATGCCCAGAATGTACAAAGACCCCTTACAAACTAATAATAAAAAGACAACCAATTAAAGAATACGCAAAAGATTTGAACAGACTCTTCGCAAAAAGGAATATCCAAATGGTCAACAAACATGTGAAACTTCATTAGTCATCAAGGAAATACAACTTAGAAACACGATAAATTGGTACTGCAGACTTACCAGAATAGCTAAAGTTAAAGAGTGAAACAAGCCAGACACAAAGTGTATATTGTATGATTCCAAAAACTAATGTATATGGCAGTAGAACTCAGGACAATTACGGTTACCCTCTGGGGTTAAATAATTGGAGGAAACATAAAGGAGGTTTCTGGGGTGTTTCCTGTTTCTGGGGTGCTTCTGCTACCACCCAGAATAAGAAATATCTGGTTTCTTGTTCTGGGTAGTAGCTATAGAGGAGTGTTTATTTGTCAAGATTTGTTGAGTCATATGCTCGTGATTCATTTGTCTTGTATCTATCTTATAGGTTGAGAAAAAAGTTTATTTGAGATTTTAAAATTCACACTAAAGCAACAAAAAAGGAAGTGTCAACTTTAAACATGTGCTTATGATACAAACACAAAGAAGCAGATCAATACAAGCAAGCTTGGCAGAAACAAGCACTGGCTAGACCAGCACTTTGAGAATTTGTAATATTGGAAGCAGATAGTAAAAGAAAAAAGTTTAAAGAAATAAGAGAGGGAATGAAAACATAGTCAAAAGACAGAATATTATTAAAACCAGATAGATTGAAAAAGACTCAAATAGAGCTCATTGAAATGAAAAATTATAATAATTGAAGTTAAAAATTGATTTTGGGGGTTAAAAATCAGTTTAGACATGACTAAATAGTAAATTGGTGGAATGGAAGACACCTCTGAAGAAACCATTCAGAATCCTCTGCTGAGAAAAAAGAAAAATAAAAAAGAAATTAAGACATGGAATATTAAATAAGAGATGCTAACAGATGTCAAACTGAAATTCCAGAAGAAAAGCACCTCTCTCTCTCTCTCTCTCCACTGATCAATCATGGCTAATTTTCAAGAATTATAAAAGACAGAAATCTACAAATTGAAAATATATCATGAATGCCAAACAGGAAAACAACAGCAAAATCCATTAAAGAATTAAATTTATCTAGAATTACTATAGTTAATCTGGTGGAAATTACAGTGACTATTAATTTGTTTAGTTTTCTTTCCTAGTTAACAATCATCTGGGTATTGATACCAAAATGCAAGAAACAAAAATTTTCTCTCGATCCCTCTTGTGCTATTCCATGGTGTATAACATAATCCTGTTGAAATAATTTTATAGCAACATGTCTTCAAATGATTTTAAAGCTGCTTTGAAATTTTACATCTTTAAGGGCCTAAAAAATATTTGCCTTACTCTAAGATCTTAGCCCAAATAACATTTTATACTTCATTTTCCAAAACAATCACTGCAAGCTATGGAAATGATTGATAAATGTCAACTTAAAGCTGATTCAGAATGTAACAGTCTTTGCAAATAAAACATCAACTTCAAAGAAACTTCTCAGATATTTATATTTTAGGTGTCAGCACTGTCTCTCCGTAATGATTTTTGCCAGGTATCTGAATTTAATAATGATTTGTTATTATGCATAATGTGTCCATGTGAAATACTCCATTTTTTAAATCATTTATCAAAACTTCCTATTCTTTCTCCAGCAAAAATAGATCCTCCAGTCATGAATATAACCCGAGTTAATGGATCTTTTCTGGTGATTCTCCATGCTCCCAACTTACCACATAGAGATGAAAAAGGAAAAGATGTATCAGTGGAAAGTTACTATGAGCTAGTATACCGAGTATTTATAATTAACAATTCACTAGAAATGGTAAGTTCAGATGAATAGATAAGTTTGCTATTTTTTCTTTTGTTTAAGTAACATTTTAGCCATAAAATATGTCCTGTCTTTTGCTGCTCTATCTCCTCTTATTTTCCCGTATCTTTTTTTAGTTCCTTCTCACTTTCACCCTCCTTGATAAACAATTAGTGGTTGGCATCACCATCAGAAGTTGCGTGTGTGTGTATGTGTGTTTGCAGCTTTTCAGCCACTCAGCTGGTCTCCATTTGATCTTCCCTGCATAGCTAAGATTGGTAGTAACAATATTTAATTCCATTTGATTGTCACAATATTCATTTTTATGGACTTTAAACACCTTATTTTAAAGTGGCATTTGGATTATATATTTGTGCCAATTTTGCTATGATATTATAATCTTCTGGTGCCTTTATTTTGGTTTGGTGGTTAATTGAAATTCCTTTTTTGGGGGGAGGGGTCCATCTAAGACAGGGTCCCTTTGGCTGTAAAAAACCAGAAACCCATCCAAATTGATTCAAATAGAAAAGTGGAGGGGAGAGGAAGAGTTTTATTAGGAGGTATCAATCTTATGGACAGCGAGAAGCAAGGAATAAGTGCTACTGGGATTTATAGTGACTGGGAAGGAGAAATGGAAAAGGAAGTCTTAAAGAACCTCACTCTGTTGGAGGTCACATGCTGCACGTCTACAGGTGTCTCCAAATCTACTGCATTCCCCTCTTGCACAGTCCAAATTCTTGAAAAAGAGACTCTGACCACTGGGTCAATCCATCAGCATCACTTAGGGAGAAGTCATGTGGTACCTTCACAGCCATGTGACCTGTCCCTTTATCAGTCTGTGATCTAGGACCCCAGAGAAGGAGGGTGTGTCTGGGAAGAAAACCCTACAGCCCATCTACTACAGTCGTTACGAACAACTTAATAATTTTATAAAAAATAGAGCAAGTCAATGACTTACTAAAAACCATTTATCATCTCGTTTTTCCTGCTTGTATACAGGAGCAAAAGGTATATGAAGGCACCCACAGAGTGGTTGAAATTGAAGCTCTAACACCTCACACTGGTTACTGTGTAGTGGCTGAAATATATCAGCCCATGTTAGACAGAAGAAGTCAGAGAAGTGAAGAGAGATGCGTGGAAAGTCCTTGAAATGCTCTGCATAGTGGAATCAAAAGGTCTCTGTGAATGGAATGGCTCATGTTTGAAGAATTTCATTGAAAGTCAATTTTTTGTTTTCTTAACGCAGTGTTCACTTTTACACTTTGGAGTTTAATCATTCTTTCTTCCTCTTTATTTTATTTGTAAACACATTTAAGCAACCCCCCCCACACAAAAAGACATTAGAATTTAAAGAAGAGGCAGAGAACAAAGGGCTCCATGAAATACAGAACTTCATTTCTGATTGTAATGTCTCTAACAACAATCCCAATCCTTCTAAGTCAGCTAAATAAAAATTTAAGAACCAAGGAGAGAAGACATTGTTTAAAATGTTGTTGAATTAATATTTTTTTTAAATAGCATTACAGACAGGCAATCCTGGAGCAATCCATTTTTACTCTTTATTTGACAGTTAACTTGACATAGACATTTCAACTTTCACATAAATGGAATTTTTAGCTGAATGAGTATTTTCCATTGCATTTCTATTTTATATGAATATACTTTTTCATACATTCATTTTCCATTATGTAATACTCCTACTTAATGAACCGTTACTTTCTTTCAAATTCTATTCTGTGTAAATAAGAATAGTATTTGAAAAAACAAAAAACCTCTCATGATCTCTGAATTAATATCTACATTAAGTTTATCAACAATAACATCTAAATACAAAAGGGTGCCCACTCAATTCAATTTCCCTCATTTAACACATACATTAAAGTTTTCTTTTCTGCTTTTGTTTTGTTTTCTAACATTGCCTTAGAAGAATTTATCCTTATTCTCCAAATCAGGTATAATCATTTTTAGCAACAAAGTGAAAAAGAAACCTTAACTCTAATTTATATCATACTCATTTCTCAACCATGCTGGTGAAGAGTCACTTGCCAGTAGAATCTTCATAATCTCTATAAACAAGAATCTTAGGAATGCCAGTTTGACTGGGGACGTGAGGTTTGGTTGGGGACCGGGTAGAGAGGTTGACTTGTAGCTGAAAGCCCACCATGGGGGGTAGGTTTATTTGGAGGAGGGACCAGCGCTGGGGGAGATTGTAGGGCCAATGAAAGCCCACCAGCAACCTCCTGGCAGCTCCAGGGCCCCACCAAGCGGAGGTCTGTGGGCTTAGGCTCAGAAAGCTGCCTTCCTCACTTGGGCTCAGTTTTATATATGTGTTTATGGTTGTCTGTCTTGTGAAGAGATATATGCTGGACAACATTTGTACAATTCCTCATGAGCATTGCTCCAAAATGTGGCAAAAATACAGTCGGTGTTTCTGGTTATGTACAGTTACACACAATAGTAAACTGATTAAAAATTATTCAGAAAGGAGAGAGCACAGAGGGAGAGAGTAAGAGACAGAGAAAGAGCTAGAAAATTGGTTTCACTGCTTTCCCATATGATGAGAAAAAATTACTTTGTATATCTTGAGATAAAAAATTACTTTAATCTGTGTTTTTGAATTATGCTGTATTTTTTGATTACTGTCTATTTTGCCTTTCGTTCTTTTGAGAAATTAAGAGCAGTGGGATGCGTGGGGAGTAAGGATTGTGTGTGGTCAACAGCATTTAAGTTTTTGAAATTCAATAGTCCTGAACTCTGATTTTAAAAATTTTTAAAAAAAAGTTACGGTTGCCTCATGAAAGTTATTAGGTAGTATCAAGTTTTGTTTTATGTTTCTTTCACTTTGTTTCTGCTTTCCCGCTTTGGCATGTTTAGGCAAGAATAAAATACTTCATAAAATATGAAAATTGTCACATTCTTCATTGTGTAAGGAATATATTGTCATACTACTTCAATAAATCTTTTCATTGTTTTGCTTTGCTTTTTGAAATATCTGTTATTTGGGTTTTTCAAAGGAAAGACTTATGAAGCGTATCGGATGAAGTCCTCATTAGACTTCTTAGACCCACATAAACATCGGCCAGAAAGGAGCAAACAATGTTTAGCTGGACTGAGGGCCTTCATTTATGTGGCCCTATGATCAAATGGCAATTCCACTCCTACAGGGTCTCAGGTCAAACGCTTTGGGGCCATCTTTGTTTCCTCCTTTACAGTCACATCCTGTATTCAATCCATCAATAAATTCTCTTGGATCTAAGCTCCAAAATATAACATTTCTCACAACTAGCTTATACCAGGCTGCTATCTGGCTAACTGCTGCAGCCACTTGGCTGGTCTCCTTACTCTGCTCTTGCCTTCTTCTAGTCTGGTCTCAGCAGGGTCGCCAGGGTGATCCTTTGAACATAAATCAGATCACGTCACTCTTCTGCTCCTAACTCCACAATGGCTTCCTGTCTCATAGGGATAAAAACCACAGTTCTTCCTGTGGCCTCCAAGGCCCTGGATGACCTGATTCCTTTTCTCATAATCTCTCAGACCTCATTCCCTAATTCTGGCCACTCTCACTTCATTCCAGCACACTGATCCTGCTGCTTGGCCCTCAAATACAAAAATGCACTGGCTTCTAGGCCTGTGTACCAGCTGCTTCCTGAAAAGCTGTGCCCCAGAAATCCACAGCCTCCCACCCTCACCTCCATCAGGCCTTTGCTGGAAGTTTGCCTTATCAGTGAGGCTTCCCTCACCATTCGATTTAAAATCACAAACTGTACCCTGTGACTCTCTCTACCCCTCATTTTCCCCCACAGCACTTGAATCAGCTGATATACTATAGTTTACTTATTTATCTTGCTCATTGTTTATTTTCCCCTCCTCCAATAGAATGTAAAGGCAGGTCTGCCGTCGTGTTTTGCTTTGTTCTGTTTTGTTTCCATAGCTCTATCTTCATTCTATTCATATCTGTATAGCAGATGCTCAATTAATATTTGCTGGATAAACTAATGAAATAAGAGTTGAACCACTGGAAGTATGGCAGGAAGGAAGGTTTTTCTTACAGTTTTGTGCAGTCTGCTGCCTATCTTCCTCCACAGGTCAGTGTGGAGAACAAGCCATTTTTCACAGACAGGCATCTATGGAAACAAGCAGAGCCTGGGTGTTGGCAGTTCTGAGCAGAGAGCTATCCTAGAGTCATTGTTCCTTCGTCCAAATGAGTGTCATTTCCTAGGTGTTGTTTGTTCTCCTTGGATAACAGTCAAGTCCAGAAATCCTGTCCCAGATTTCCTTTAAAAGGAGATGGGTAAAATTAGGAACGCAAAAATGACATATCCACTCTGATGAGAAGGAATTTTAGAAAGTGTTCTCAAGATAGGGTTGAGTTGAATGAAAGAAACCATGAGAAACTCGATCGTCAGAAGCAGATGAGCCTTTTTCATCTCGGGTCGGCTGAGTTGTCTGACGGAGTGCGCTACAGGTAAAAGCTAACTTCTACTTGCTTCTAAAGTAAACACACATTGAGAGGTTGTCTATATGACAGTGATGAGAAAGAAGGAAAGATTCCAATGGACACGCAAGGTGTAATGTTTCTTCAATAGCAAAAGATACAGAAACTTAGGGAGAGAGTTAAATAACGAAGGAGAACACAGGGCTCCCAGACCAGAGCTCCCCACACTCCTACCTCCCCAGATCCCTACATTTTCCCACCAAAACACAGGATTGTAGCTTCTTCCAGCTGCTCAGAGTAAAGCTTCCCCAGGTAAGAGGTCCTCTTTGCCACTCTCACAAGGATTTGATAGCCCCTGTTTCCCCTTTCCTCTGTCTTTTGAGAAGACTGGCTAAAGGCTTGTCTGCTGATGAGGGGCAAGCAAATGGCAACAGTCTCAGCCCAGCCCTGAGAACTGGCCGTGACAGTGGACAAAGGGACGGTCATTCCCTCAGCCATAGTCCTCAGCAGGTCCCGGCTTCAGCTTGTCCTCAGGCTACGCTTGCACATACGTTATTTCTTTAACCCTCACACTTGCCCACCAGGTAGTCATGATTATTATGAAATAGACAGTCACCTGTTTTATAGGTGAGCCTCTGAGAGGCTGTGATTTGTAGGGTCAGAAATCATATCTAACTCAACAACTTAAGCACTTTTTATCAGACCGTCTAGAAATTCCTCTGGGTTTTTGTACATACGGATTTCCGCTTAGTCCCTTAGTTAAAATTTCTCTTTTAAATATTAGTTTTGCCCTGTTGAACTTCAGAACTTTCTTTTTCTCTTTAATGTCAGTCAGTACATTAAAGGACAAGTGTTGACCTTTGGGGCAAGAGAGCATGGGGACAAGGAGATCTGATAGGACATCTGGGCAGCGGGTGGGGGGGCTGTCTGTTTTCAGGGACAAGTAGAAGCAGGGCCCAACAAGATCGATTTGTCCTGCATGGTTGGAAGATACATACTCCCTGACAGCACTCGTTAAGTCTATACATTTATTAGTAAACATTCACTAATTTGGCAAATTCCATCTCCAAGATGCTTTGAAGGCAAGTGTCAACCATTTCTATGGTCTCTTGATTTTCAAATAACTATTCTGAAATTGATTTTGTAACAGAAGCTCCAGTGTTTTCCATGCAGAGCCACAATGACCATAACAGCAACAATAAAGCAACCTGATGTGTTGAAATCTGATTTAGAATGAACTCCAGACAAGCCTTTAAAAATTATAACTACTTCGAAATTCTTACATCAAACGATATGGCTCCCTTTACTTACATACCATTTACCCAGAGACATAAGTGAACTTGGAGAATAGAAATTTTTTTTATTGTTCCAGTGGATTTCCTTTTGTTTATTTTCTCCTGCCGGTTAGATCCATGTTCCCTTTAAAGGAAAGTCAGCCTTTGAGTCTAAACGATGACAAAAGTCAGTCCATAGCCAAGTGTTTGACATTGCCTACACTAAACCACCAAAGTTGATCTCTACAGAATAGGGGTGGTCCAAGGAGAGGGACCTTGACCCAGAGCCCCAAAGATGCAGATTTTTTTAAGCTAAGACTCCAGTCCTTTTCATCACGTCTTCAGCAATTGCTAGTCTCTCAGTACCCACAACTCCGGGCCTGATGTGGGCAGGGGCTGGTCTCCTGGACCTTCCTTCCCCTCTCAAAAGCCCTAGGCCTTTCTGCTTTCTGACCCTGAGGAGGTACAGAGAACAGGTGGTTATGCTTGACTGACAATGTCACCAATGAACCAGCTCTGTCAAATATTTGCATTTGGGGCTTTTTTTAATCTATAAAAGATTAATCTGGAACAAAATGCTTTGCCCTGAGTGAGATATTCCAGACACGGTGTGCAATTGGAAATATATATTTTGGGCAGAAAGACCCTTCACCTTGTCCGTGAAATCATGCTGAACCTGAGGCTGATAATCCTGGAGATGGATCTGTTTAATCTTTCTGGAGGTCTAGGAGGGCGGGAGATGGGAAGTGGGCTCTCATGGCCCACTGCACGGCCTGTCCTGTCTTCAGATTGACCCCTTGTTTCATCCACCAAACCCAAGATGCCTGCGTGACAGCACCCAGAACAGTCTCCTCTCCCTGTCCCTGTTTGTCACCTTCTCAAAAGAATCTCTCCCACTTTCCCCACGCACATGCAGAGCACAGTCACATGGTGGGATTTGACTCAGGTAAGTCAGTCTGTTCTTTTCAAATATTGATGTCGACAGTGGGGGAGAGAAGCCTGCTCTCAACTCTGGCGTCATGTGCTGTAAGGACTGGCTGAGTTTGGAGCTGCCACAGGGCTTTATGACAAAAACATGGCTCTGCTTCTCAAAGTGATCATAAGGGAGACTGGAGCTGGATGATTCCTTAATCAAAATGTCCACTGAGAACAGGCTTTCTTCTCCATCTAAACCCAGCCAATACCAGACATCACTACTATTCTTTATATTTGTGTGGGAAGCAGCATTTCGCATTGTTTAAAATTAAGATTATTTTTTGTTTTCTCAAAATAACTTTAGCAAAGAGGAATGTTTCCAGACACAATTGCTTGTCAACTTCCCATCAGAACAATAGCCTCCGAGTTCTCATGTTTGATATTGTAGCTACACCCCAGATCCTGGGCCATCATTTGTTTTGCAACAATGGCAAGATTGGAGCTGGGAAGTCTTGATGCTGAGAGTCTGCCAAGAAAATCGCAGGCGAGGACCCACTGCCATTAATAAGAATAGTATTCTAATGGCTTAAGTTCATTATTAAAAGTAATAGATCTCTTTCATTTAAGGGAAATGTAGTTAAGATCATTACTTTTGCTTTTTATAAACCTATAAAAGGAAAAGTGATCCCATGTTGATCTGGAAGGAAAAGAATTAATCTAATACTGAGATCTGAACTTAATCTTTCAACAGCTTCATCTTTTTAATTTAAAAAAGCTTTTTGGAATTGTGATTGAAAAATATTGCCAGACATATCTAAACAAAGGAAACATTCTCATGCATCTTTGCAACCACTTGCCCTCCTTCTTCCCCAAAGGTAACCACTCGTTTGACTTCTAACACCATAGATACGTTTTTGCATATTTTTTAAAATTTGCACAAATGGATCATACATGTTTTCATATGTACCAGGTTTCTTTTGCTCAATGTGTAAAATTTATCTATGTGTTGCTTGTAGCTATAATTTATTTTCATTGCTCTATAGTTTTCCATTATATGAATATATGAATACTTACA